AATTCGCCTATCAATGCATGTCTTTATACCATATAAAGTGTAAAGACGTATATTGACATTTATATCTATTTTGCATACATGATGAAGCTAAACCCCTCTCAGTTCTCAGTGTTTAAATGTGAATATACAGCATGCAAATACATGTTTTAAACATTTTAAGATAGTTACTTAAATTACCAATAGCCCCATGAAACATTTCTGAAAAATATTTTTTTAAATTACAGTTGTTTTAAAAATGAAATAAACTGTTTTTTTTTGTTTTATATTTCTTTAATTTTTACAACGTATTTAATATTTATATACCCTTCAAATTGATATTAAGTGTTTTTTTCTAAAATAAAAGTAAGCAATAAGTAAGGTAAATAGGTAATAATTGATACCTAATTTATAATTATCATTTTAAGTCTGTATGATTATTGATTTATGATAAAATATGAGGCATTTTACTCGATCATAATTTATATTATTATTATTATTATTATTATTATGTGTTGTTTTAAGCGGCACATTTAACAATAAATACAAGCGTATTCTAAAATAGACTTAATAGTGCGGGCTGTCGGTTATAACCCTCTTACTCCCCTCCCACAAATACGCCACTGCTTAATAGTACCTACCTAATAGATGAAATTGGAATGATAAATTGCGAACGAAGCGAGCCACTTTATGATGGTTAAATTTACAATATAATCATTCTATCATGTAATCTGTCATTATTTTGCTTTAACTTTGTGGGTGGTGGTATTAACAAATTTTTATACTTTGCCCAACCAAATAAAATACAAGTCGGCGCCACTGGTAGGTTTTGTTGAAACTTACCGCTATATTAGTATGGTTATATTTTAATAATAATACATTTTTTTTTTCTTTTGACATGTTTATTAATAAAATAATATTAAAAAATCGGAAAGTAATAATTACATGATACTTACGATATTTAATGCAAATGTGCATGTCATTCTACTTATAAGTAATTAATTTGATTAATGACTGTAAAAATAATTAAGTTATGGTCATAAAAAATATATAATCAAAATGTGTATTTTTTTTTTTTTACGAAATGGTTTATTTTCATTAATTGTAAATACGACGCAGTAATTTGCCTAGCGAATTGCATAAATGGAAGAAGAGCACTTGATAAACCTCAGTGTTTGTTTATCACTATTGAAAATAGCGTATTGTTGAAATATGCATTTTGTTTTGTATAATAAATATATATAAATTGTACAAAACATAAATAATTTAGTTTTTTTTTTTTTTATTAAAGAAATGTTGAAATTAAATTATTATAGGAGTATATCAACAATTTAAAGATCAGAAATGCGATAACAACAAAAATGACTATTAGTTAACAAAATCAAAATAAGAAAATAAAAGAGATAAAAAAAAAAAAAAATATTTCTTGAAAATATGGATAGTTGTAAAGCTCATACTTCTAAATATTTAGACCAATCTGCAGTATTAAAATTTAGTTTATACAACCCGAAATTTACTATATAAGTATAAATTTACAATAATTTTAAGCCTATTTTAGTTTTAAAGCACTTTTATTACTACTATAACCACTGCGGTGAAAAATACAAATACGAATTCTACAAATACTCGTAATATTTAATGCCATCCAGAATTTATATGACATAACGTATCCTATGGGATTTGTCATAGAAGACTTTATTTTTTTCCATATCGAGTTTTTATTTCAGTTTGCTCTGAAAATGTCCTAATTACTGCTTATTTTTATTTTTTCAACTGTATTATTAACTATTTAAAAATAGTTTTGCTTTTTGCACATTTTAGACACTTTGAACTTAAATCAATTGATTTTGATTAAAAACTGTATAAACTATAGAAAACAACATGTAAGAGTTCACTTTAACTGCCAGTCTCTAAGCCCTCATAATTCTAAGCACAACCCTAGGTATTGAACACTGATTAATTATAGATGAAAGACTTCTATTATTATGTAATCTATATTTGTTTTCTGACTTTTAACACTTTATACAAATAGAGAAACGTAAGAGTTTAATGGGAAACTTACTTAGTTTTAGGTATAGTAGAGTTGTACGGAGAGAGTACGATTTTAGTAGAGATATTAAGTTAGAAAAAAAATAATGGTTTCGGTTAAACATCAACTGTAAAATTGATATAAAATCGTTAACTAAAAGTGCTGACGTTAATTGACAATTTTACGTCTCGATAATTGACACTATAGTAAATAAATACAAATAAAATAGTTCAAATAGTATTTAAGATCGATTTCAAATAATATATATATTTTTTTTGTTAGTGATTTAAGTTGAAAAAACGTACTTACATTTGATCTTATGAGGTTTTTAGTGAAAGCTATATAATACTTAAAATAATGGCGGCATTCAGTGGCGTATTTACGGTGGTGTTTTGGAGGTTAAAACAACATCAAATATTTTTTTTAGAACATTTTTCTTTATTAAATGTACATGATATAATGTTGACACAATGATAAATTATTTTAATATTATAATTTATATAATTATATAATTATAATTTATATCTGTAAATCTCTAATCTGATTCTGCATCAATTGCACAGAACGAAAGATTATTTTCATCATTAAAAAGAATAAATACTTATCTACACAATACTATAGGTTCAATAGGTCTATTTTTTTATTTTAATAAGATAAGATAATAAATAAAAAATGTATTTAATTTATAATTAATTTCTCTATAAAAAACCTAATGGGTCATAAATTAATCGAAATTATCGTATTGAAAGTAATCAAGTGTTAAACCAATTGGCATTAAAAAAAAAAACGTCTTACTTTAACACTGTAAAATTAATTAATACATGTATGCAAAATTTAATAAATTGATTTATAAAATTACCTAGTGATCTGAAATTAGTTAATGTCTTATTCAGTCCAACTTTTTATATTTTATTCCAGTAATAGAGTCAAATATTGAAATAGTAATCCTTAGTTTTTTTACAAATAAAAAAAAATTACCACTTTAAAGATTTTTTTTATATCATTGAGTCCAGATAAAACTATAGAAATATAATCGTCACCACAAACCAATGAAAAATTATATTGATATTTTCTTTACTATAATATAATAGGTTGATTATTATAATTATAAATTATAACAATGTTCAACAAATATTGTATAATAATATTTAGGCACTTATTGTAGGGGAGCGAAACTTTCTGTATGACTTTATGAATAAACTAAATATTTTTGAAGAGAAAAGTATTTACTGAACCCTCCCCCCAAAATACGCTACTGCTTTTTTTTAAACGAAACCGAAATGAAAAAAGCTCATCGGCGTACACTGACATAAGGACGACGGAGAATCAATCTTTTTTCTTGCTATCCATCGTTTTATAAATGTATGTATATATATTTACAGTGCATGCAGTAAAGATTTGATCAAATTTGATTTTATTATACCAACAACATTGGGAAAAGGCGGTTTCTGAGGTCTATTGTGTTCGATTCTTTTAACAAGGCGGTATTTATTTTTATTTTTACGTCCCGCATTCTCTCGTTCTATTACCCTTTTCTATTTTTAAGACTCTATACGCATTTCCGGGCTAACAGAATTGAACTTTCAACTTTTCTTTCCTCACAGATGAGACGTTTGTGTGTTTGCCCATAGGAAGTTTATTTTATGTACCCGTGACTTTATCACATAAAAAACATCGAGTTGTTTCCTGCTGCGGGGTAGATACTCCTCCTCGGACCCTTTATGCATTTTTATTATTATCAATACCACTGCGGACATAACGACATCTCCCCAGTTATATTTTTTGAATTTTTCTCCCATTTCTTATTCATGCGATATTTTATGTTGTTCACGTGCGCACCAGAATCCGAAGAAAATTACACTTATCACTACGACACCTCTTCTCCGTTATTGATTGTCTACCGAATTGGGAACGCACTATCCAGTATGGGACCCCTCTAACGGCCGCGTTCGATGTGATAATGCAATCCATTCCAATTGAATACCGACTCTTATCGTTTTCGTATAAAAATACAAATCTTTACATAGGAAAACGTATTGTTCATCGTTTGATCGATCACAATAATTATTCTTCGTGACGTCTATATTTGGTATTTTTCCAACAAATAACTATTCTGATAAACTATTTATCAAAAAACTTAATTTTTATTGAATCCTATAGATCCTGAATTTGTAAGGATATTTTTACAGCGTAATGAATAATAATTCAACAATTAAATTGTTTTTAAGTTAAATAAATAAATGATAACTGTATCTTGGTCATTTTAATGATTAAAATGTATATAGGACTTTAGAATTTAAACCATAAAACCATTTTACTTTAAAATATCACTGATTTATTATATTGAATGCAATTATAAATGTATTATAATTTTTCTTGTTTTATTAAACTTTATTCAGTTCCTACATTTATTAATTATTTTCAAATCAAATCACATATAATCGAATCCGACATTAACTTTTAATATATTTTAGAAATTATTAAAATACTCGGAAACAGTAGTTTCGGATAGTAAATAAATAAAACTCGTTTAAAATGTCTACAGTAGAATTGCGTTTAAATTATATCTTAGGTCGACTCGGCTTTATATCGGTATTCCGATTGGAGTGGTAAAATTGAATAATTCAACACAACAAAGAGTAAAGATTAACTAAAATATTAAAAAGGGTATAGTAATTGAACTATATAACAAGATATAAAGAAAAAATTATTAAAGAATTGTATTGTTCTAATTCAACGTAATAGCGATCCCCATCAGCGTTCGATATAAATATATAGATAGGTTAATATTTTAATTTAACTTTTGAATTATTAAGTATTCATTATTATTTTAGTGAAGTTTAGAAACATGTTTAACCAAATGATTAATGTTTACCATAGCGAAACCAAATTAAATGTCAATATTATGCGTTACCCATTCAATTACATGATGATTATTTTTTTTATTATTTAAATTGTATTTATTATATATTATAAACATGTATTTCATCAAAAGCAAGAGACTCGAATGGGCTGGGCACTTATGGAGGAAGAATGGCATATGCAAGCAAGTTCTGATGGGCAGAATCAATGGTAGAAGACCCAGAGGCCACCCTAGACATAGATGGATGGACACTGTAAAATCAGATCTAGCAGAGATTGCACCAGAAACAGAACTAGCAGAAAGTGAAAATAAAGAGAAGTGGCAAGAAATAGTGGAAGCAGCAAAGGCCCTTAATGGGCTATAAAAGCTAAATAAAAATAAAAAAAACGTGTATTTCAATTATGCATTTATTATGCATTCAAAATGGTTATGTTTTATGAGGACGCATCGTAATGAGAAACTATCTAATTGAGAACAAACAAAATTGGAACTATTTTATTTATCACACATTGTCCCTCACAACTTTCTAAACAACCAAATTCCAGAAAGCTTTTAAATCAACCTTGATCTAAATCTCATGGGAAATTTCCAGTTCCGGTTGTAGAGTGTTTGCATTTAAATTATCCTTTTCGTCCGACATCATTACTTCGTGCAACATTTTAAACGCGCATGCATTTATCGATGCATTTTTACACATGATTCCACTCAAAGCGGGTCTATTGTATATTCAATGCGTGTACGTGACTTGATATTTACGACGTAAGTTGCATAATTAGTTTGTGTAATTTCATTTAAGCGTGTGCATATAGTGTGTACTAAATGCAATAGGAGCTGCTGTCTAAATAAGTTTCGTACACGTTGTTTGGTGGACACATGCCATTTAGTTCTATAGTATTATAATATGGCTGTATAAGTACTTTATATAAATATATACAATCTTCTTAAATTCCACAAGATGCGACCAAATAGCATATATTATTATAATTGGTGTAAATATTTATATCGTATTAAATATTGAGTACATGCGTGCACGGGAGTGAATATATGTGTGTGTGTTCTAGTAGTCGAACAAAAATTAGTTCAAATCTAAAAATGTTCTATGAATTTATAAAATGTCATGCATAATTATAAGTGTATAAATATATATATATATATATAACACACACATTTGTATATATAAAAAAGAAGTCTTGACTGACTGATTCATAATCATAACATAGACTAAATTATGATAGATAGCGACTTGAAATTATCTCAAGGTATGTTTGCATTATATTATATGCTTGCAATAAGAAAAAATTTTGAATAATTTTGATGTTAAGAGGTTTTAGCTAATTTCCCCTCTTGCTGCCGTCTTGCGACCTTATTTCGTGAAACGTGTGGCTCTACGTTGGTGACAAGTACACATTTATGTTGATGTGGTGTTCTATCACGTGTTTAATACGTTGAGTGCGCTACTTAATTTACGTAATTAAGTATAAAATTATGAATTAAATTATTCATTGTTTGATTCAAATTAAAAATAAAAACTTAACTCTGATATTTGTAAAATATTTTTAAAATAATATCTTAAACTTTAAATTTTTTTTTTTTGTCCTGTCTTTCATGTTATTTACAGCAGGGCACCGTGGCTAAATTGAGTCCAAAAAAAGGCACCGCAGAAAAAAAAGTTTGGGAACTTTAACTACGATTTATTTTCGGGGAAGAGGGGGTTATTTTACATGTGTATGAAGCTTATAAATTATAATATCTATTAAAATTAAAAATACAAACACTATGTTCTACTCCTAGTTAGTGCGGGCATATCGCATTTGACAAAAAACAAACTATTTTGTATTCTGCATTTGTGTTGGTGGCATAGGTTGAAATCGGGGGGGAGCTTGGGGGGACTAAGCCCCCTAGAAATATAAAGTACAGGTTTTAGCCCCTCTAGCCCTAAAAATTGTTATGAGACTAAAATACAATAATTAATATAATTGTAAAATGCATTTTTAATAACTGAATTAAAAAAAAATATTCTGTGATAAAAATTAAATCAAATTCGTAAGATTTTACAAACTTCTTGTCATGACTTGGAACGATCGCAATTAATGTAATACTAATAATATGTAATAATACCTGTATAGGTTGTTTAATTTAATTAATCAATAATTTCTGTATAGAATATCTACTCCAAAAATGTTTAAGATAAGGAACCTAATTGTTTTTTTGTTTAAATTGTTGATTAAAAATGTCAAATTGTCAAACTTCGTAAATTGCCTTATTGAAATAAATAATTGCGCCCAGTGGTATCCATAGGTGTAATAAGCAAATAATCCTCAGCCCCCACAAATTTCACCAAATTTCCCCTTATGGTTTGTGGTGCGTGCACACACTAAAAACGCACTAGCTATGACATAACGTAATATAAAAATAATAATAATTAGTACTTATGAATGTTACGGTGAAATTATAACAACAAAAATTGACAATTCACGCCATAGACATGTGTACTACATGCTATACACTGAACAAATACGAATAACGAGTACAATAATTTAGGTAATCGTACGCGAGATATCAATTCTATTTCAGACTTACAGTATTGCAATAAATAACGACTCGGTGAAGACCTATTACTTATTAAATTATAATAATACGACGTATCCGCTTGGGAGAATTTTAAAAATAGTATCCCAGTTGTTTATACTTGAACATTCAACATACCATACCATTCATGTTCACCTGTCAATATGATATATTGATATTGTCTTTATTTAGATACATTTAGATTAATTAACAATTTTGTATATTATTTGTGAAATTATTCCTGTGAATAATAATTTTACTCTTAAACAACTAATGACAAAATTAAAATAACCTCAAAAAATACATACAAAATTATATGTCACATAAAGATTGTAAAATAAAAAATTATTCGTGTTTCGGGTTAAAACCAATATTTTATTAGGGTTTTGGTTAATTCGGGTGTTTAAAAAAAAAAATCATTCGGGTTATATGGGTTTTGGGTTTTTGATTTTTAAGGGTTTTTAGGGGTGTTACGGGTTCAGGTTAATTCAGGTGCAAAGCCCTGATAATAATACATATTACTGTCAGTTAAAAAATAATAATTGATACTTAAATAATTATAATTGACAAAGATATTATTTTATAGAAAATGTAAAAAGAATTCGGTGGATACAAGCTTAGTTATCTGTAATTTTTCATGTTGTTGATTAACGATCCTGTTTGCAATACTTAAACTATATTATTTGATAAATGTATTTTGATATCTAAAATTTTAGAAGGTAAAATAAAAAATAAAAAAACCGTTAAGTTATGGAATTAAAATAATATTATATATATATAATAGGTAAATATAATTTTGTATTCTTATTATCATAATATTTTATATTGGCTAAGTCAAGCAGATATTTTACTACTTTAGAATAGAGCAATTATCATTATTTAAATGCGTAAACAAAAATCTTGAAAAAGCCCACAATCGTCGTATATTCTAAAGGTATCAAGAATAATTAATTATTATATAATTATATAAGTACCTCAAATCACCCAACCTACATATTATTACTTTAATAAAGTATTTTCTAGGTAGCCGAAAAATGAAAAAAATGTATAAATGTAAATCTATAACTTAAAATTTGATTTCAGATAGGCAATTCATTTTTTAGTGTGCCTATAGATATAAATAAGCATATTCGAGAGACTCCTCTCATAATCATATAGGCAATTATAATTATGGCTATACGTAAATCAGTACATGAGTAAATTAGATATCTGAATTGCACATATACAGTAATTTCGTAAAGCAATTGGTATGAATATATCTATTTTTATGTGTTACAATATTTTTTCATTATACATATATACTTAATAATCATACAGTATTAATGTTTTTATTAAATATGAGACATACGTATTTGTGAGATTTAATTTTGATCTAGTAATTATAATTTACTTTATATACTTTACACATATATTTGTAATAATATAGTAGATTCAAATTATTTAAATTCAAATATTTCTAAAGTAATGAATAAAATAAACTATACGTATATTTGAATACCTACCCTTGTTTAAATATAAATATTAAATTAGTTATGCAAACATTCACATTCGAAGGTATTTTTTAATATACATATATTCATATTTCATAGAAAAAAAGTAAACAAACAATTTAATTCTTTCGCAGTAAAAAAAAAAAAAAAAATAGTTAAAATATTGTATACCTGCAGAACCCAAATGAAATTACCGTCTTTCAGTTCAATTTGGTTAAACGTAAGATTTTTCATATTTAAATATGATACGGAAATATAATATTAAAATTCTTGAATGACAATAACAACTTATTATGTTCTCTAAATTTGGTAATATGACTATTTGTATTATATAATGTCAAATAAAAAATATAGTTAATTTCTATAAACTCATAATGGCTAAACAACAGTGTGATCACTGATCACCTCAAATTCTATAAAAAGAAAAAATATCGCTTAAATCCCGGACGTTTGCGTAAGACATAAACATAAATTTAAAACCACAATTATGTAGTTATAAATACGTATGCATTAAAATCAGTTTTTGAAAAAAGTCATGAAAAATTATATCATCCGAACGATTCGTTTGCTTTTATGAGGAAATGTTTTGAAGTTATTCTGTTTAACTATTTAGAGTTTAATGTTATTATACACATATGACACCACCAACATTTTGCTCAATGTTTCTATTTTTAGTGTTTTAACATAATAATATATTATATATTCTCTAATGGTAAACATCGGTATCAGATTTGCGTTTCATTTAAAATTGTAATGAATCATAAAATCAATTTTTTTTTTCATAACCTTTTCCTTTTAGTTTTTTTTTTTTTAGTAAGAAAGATAACACTTTATGTGATGAACCAATGAGTTATTCGGTTAAAAACATTAATTTAAAATAGTTACATTGATTATTTTGTAATAATTTTATACTTATTTTATTGTTTATTTTTATACGTTTTATACTTTAAGACAGCAGTTCCAAAAAACAAAAAATATAAATATTTCATTAGTGGAGGAGGGCTAAGCCTCCTCACCACCCTCCACCAATGAAAAATAATATTTTTCCTTGACTACTTAACACCCGTATTAACCAATTATTATTAAATATATATAAATATTAATTAATAATTAATTAATAAATATTACATTATTAATACCCGAATAATAACGGTTATAAACACCCAAACGTTTGTTTAAATGTTGTATTACGGTTAGAACGGTTTGAACACCCGAATATATTCAGCACCCGAAACCCGAAAAAATTATTTGGGTGCAAAGCCTTGATTATTATGTTTAAACTTCGTTCTTTTACGACGATTTATGGCTTTGATATTTTTTACTCTATCAATACATTACAATTTTACAATATTATTTTTATACTTTGTTTGCACAAACGTAGTAGGCACAACGAATGTGTTAGAATCGTATTGCATGGCGGCAATGTCTCCTGAAGGAGACTTAGTCCGTACGTCCTTTAAAAGCATACACACTGGCACGTTGTGAGTGTACACAAAAATGCAGATACACTTATATTTATATACATTGGTATATCATTGCGGAAAATTAGATGAGGAATAATTTAAGGTTTTGCCATGCATTACCGGCGTGAGATTGCGCATTAATAATTTTACACGCAATTCGGCAGAGTATTTCAAAAGGGTTATGAATATTTCATTCATGATGTGCGCGTGCACACATACGCGCACACACACACACACACACACACACACACACACACACACACACACACTTGCAATACACTAACTGCAATCGAAAGACATCTGTTCTATAACATATACATATACCTCCTTTGACTATTATAGTTTTTACACCGTTTAAATAATCTAGAAATTCTACTAGCTCAGGCTTTATACTGTCCTCATAAACGTGAATAAATATTTATCGTAGAAACTGACTTGCTTTAAGTTAAATAAAATTTAGTGCGAATATATTTTTGAGTATTTCGAAAAGTGATCGTTTTTTGTTCTGATTATTATAAAATTTTTAAATTCATAACATTTCACTCCCAAAGATCAATCGTATATTAACACTTAATACATTAAAATTTTTAATCGTTATTATATACCTTAGAGTTGTTAATCATCAACAAGTCCACGAAAGAGCAGTGGCGTATTTGGGAAAAACTTTGGTGGGGGAGGCAATATTTATGTGTTTAGTTTTGAAATAGTAATGTCAAAACATTTGCTATTTGTAAAATATAAAATATTTTATTCAAATGAAACTCTAATACAAAATCAACTATAAACTATAAATTATAATAAAATTATACTATTTACACAGAATATTGATTATTAATTTTAACTAGAGTTAACACATTCGATTTTCTTTTTTTAACAATTCTTATTGGAATACGTATATACGTATAATGAATAAATATTTGTAAATATAATTTTTAATTGTTTATAATATAATGAAACGTATCCGATTGAACTACACTAGTGAGTACTAATAATAAGACAAAATAATAATAAATAATAATAATATATATTTAATAATAATAATGTGATGACTTAAATCGTAATCTTACGTATCAGAATACTACATCAACCAACATTCCCCCCACAAAAATACAAATATGTATACATTTCTTTACTCTTCAATACTTCTATACATAACGTAGATATATCGTCAAGCGTGGAGTTGAAGACGAAGAAAAGGGCATATATTTTCAGCTCTGATTTGATCCATAGATTATATATTATATATGGTCCCGAAACCGCTTAGAACATGTAGAGTAAATCATTTTACCATGAGATCTGCCGACGCATATAGATGAACAATAATACACTTTTACTTACAATTAAAGAACTAAAATATTTAAAACCAAAAAATAGGTTAAATATTTAAGAACATGGATTGATATCCAAATTAGTAGAACATTAATAATCCATATGTTTGCGCTGTACGCGATAAGGCCGCGCACATTTAATTATTATTATTATTATTATTATATGAAAATGATGTATATGTTACGCGATGCACCATTTACCGTGCATCCGTATCTTTGTTTTCGTTTTCTTCAGTAGATAATTATTGTAATCACGTTATTTTTGTATTTTTTTTGTTTTGTGTCGGTCGTGATATTGCATTGCCGGCACATTCGTTCGTTGGTTGCGATTGTTGCACCACATTTTTATTGTAAAAATACTTTTTTTCGTTCGTCGTTAGCCATTGAGGCAACTGTTGTGATTTTTTCGTTGTTCGGTCGTCGTTCGTTCGCTATTGAAGCACCATTTATGATTATTATTCTTATTTTTTTTTGTTTTTGTTCACCATTGCGGCAATTTATTATTATTATACGTTTTTTTTTCTTCTGTCATTATGGCAACATTTTTATTATTATTATTCTGGTCGATGTGACTTCAAGTAATGTTAAATTGTGTTTTATAATAATATATTATTTTCACCACAGTAACGTATTACCAATAAAAACCAAAAGATCTCATTTTCGTTATTGTGATTTATTTTTGTCTGCGTGTCCACAATCTACCTAATTATCGTTTAGGTCGTCATATCGTCCACCGTCATACATAAATCCACCAGCGTCCGGTGTGGCAGGTGAGAGACCGTCCAGAACGTCGATTGCCATTATCACAGTTACTGTTAGTTACCATTTTTGTTCATATTCACCATAATGTCGTCAAGTAATTTAAGTTGTGATTGAATGTTTAATTTATAAGGTTTTCGTCCGATTTGTGTGTGGTCATTGCACCAGAACGATTCGACCACAGAGACTTCCCCCCCGAGAACTAAACTCAACTTCCTGTTTTCCCTTGAATAACTAAATTGTTTCCGTTCCTTTCCGGCGCCGCCGTCGTGTCAGAGGTCGCCGCCGAACGCTATCAGTCCATCGTGTATCTTGAGTTGCCTATCTACAAAAGCAGTACACGCAGTACGCGTGGAGTAGATAAAATTGCCTATACGACTTATTCTAGGCACCCACCACATACAAATTATATTTTTATATTTAAATGTCAATGTGACTGGTCCTTCGATCGTCGTTTTGGCCCAAACACCATAAAAAATTATTACACACAAAAAATACTAACCAAAACTTTTGAATTCAAATATAACATTAAATATGATGCCTCAGGTAACTTACTTCAATAACATATAATTTGTTTAAATATTTTCTAATCAACAATGTTAATGTAAAAATGTAAATTAAGTTTCACAATGTTTTAGTAATGCTAATAAGAAATGTAATCGTCAATAATTAATTAGGTTAGTTTTCACGTTCTAATCTTAGCGATATATATTTTTTAATATTTTTTTATTCCATGTAAAGAATAAAAAAACTGATTTTCATCAGTCTAGAGCTCATATAGTCTATTTCATCAAAGCATTAGACTATACTATACACGTAGGAAAAAGAAATGAAATAATTTCTGCTCAAAGGACGGTAAAACTGAGAAAAATGCAGCTATTAATTTATGAATATAAATTTAGTAAGGCTCAAGTAAAGTGTATAAATAAAGATAAACATTGGTATAATTTTAATAGTAACAATTTACAATGTATAAACTGAAAAGGAAAGTGAAAAGGAATACACTCTAGTAAATAGGAACAGATTAAAGCATCTATTAATTTAAAAAAAAAAACAGTACGTTTGGATTTTTCTACTTATATATAAATATTTTAGATATAGACTATTTAAAATAACATTTAATATATTAAAGTTCGTATTAATAGAATTTTATTTTTATATAACCAATATAGTGCACAAATATTTTCTACATCCTTTTATTAATTTTTCAAATTAAAGAGGATGAAATGTATTTTGGTCTACATGTCTCAATGAAATATCTAGTATCAATTAATACATTAACAAATGAAAAATGTTTTGACTTTAAAAAGGTCTTTTTAATCGGGAATTGTGCTGCCATCTACTCGATTCATTTTATAATAAAACAGTATAGTAAATAATATCTAAAACGCACCCCACATCCAAAAGATATCGTGATGAGTGAGTACTGAAGCTTGAGCTATACCAGCTTTTATGGGTTTAAAAAAAGAAAAGTTATCTTTTATTTTTAATAAAAAATGTTTTATTATAAAAAAGGACCTTAATATATCAAATAGGTTATTAAGTGTATATAGTGCAATAGTATAATAGTTATGAGTTTATATTACAAACCTTGATGCCTTACTATGTTAAAAGCTTTGAATATATCAAAAAAAGGGCCCCAGTGTAACAGTGTTTTTTTGAATGAGTTCCTTACGTATTCATTTATATGTAGAAGTTGTTAGACTGTAGAATGATATGTCTAAATTCAAATTATAGTTTTGAAATTGTTTCTAGTCTAGATCATTATTGAATATCATTCTCAATAATGTTTGAGAGTGATTTGAGAGTTTAATAGACTTATAAATTTGTAACTATACGGATTAGTTTTGTCTTTCCCGGGTTTTTGTTGCTGTAAGAACTATAATGGCTTTTCTCTCAGTTATAAAAAAAAAACAAAGACAAAGTAAAGCATTGGAGAGAGAAGTTATAAAAATAATTACTTTTTGGCAAATTTTTAGGTAAAAGATTTGTAAAACGATTATGACCAGGAGATTTTCTACCATGTAGTCTTCTTCTTCTCTATTAATGACCTTGATTTGTCGTTCCAAATCTAAATATCCATTCATCTCTGTCAAATGTCAAGTCTATTGTATGTCCATGTAGTATATTGATGATTATTTAATTTAATTGGAGTAACATAATTTATTACATTTTTTATTGAATCATTGGGTGAATTAAAATTTGTTTATAACTTAGGTATGTTATATATTATGTCATACTGTTTAAAACTTATGATAATCACAATCAATGACTTACCACGTTTTCTAAAAAAACGAGATAAGTACAACACATACTAAACTGAGCTCGGTCGTTATGAAACTTTCTGATTTCGTTTGTACGTGGGCCTTCTATCCCTTCGTCGAATAGTTACTGGATAACCATTAACACTTCTCAGTAATAAATCTACTTTCAATTTAATGTCACTTAATTTAGTATCGGTATGCACGCTGAAGTTTTGCAAGAACGTAGATATCAGAATTTTCATTGACAGCATAGCATATTTGGACCCTGTATTTGATTACTCATAGTTTAAATTATAATTTATTTTGTAATAAAATATCATTAAGTTACCTAAACAATTTCTTGGACCACTACTAAAAGGTATAAAACTGTATTTATGCCGTTTCTTTACATTTTCGGGATTGAAATTCTCTGGGTTGAAAGACCAAGGATTTGGATACAACTCAGAAATATGGTGTGTGTATAAAGGAGCTAGAATACATGTTGTTCCTTTTGGAAGTACTTCGGTACAAGAAACTAAAATAAAATGTATTTTATTATTTTCTAATCACAAGTAGAATAACAAGTAGTTATACTATTTTTAAGTAACTCACCAATTTTAACTTCATCTTGCAGTTTTCTCAGAAACATGGGCGCGATAGGGAATAGCCGAAGGGTTTCTTTAAGCACTTGTTCTAGGTATACAAGTTTATTTGTGTCTTCGATGGTAATTTTTTCATCACCATCGCCCATTATGTCGTAAATTTCGTCATAAACTTTATCCTAAAAAGTTTTAAATATAAAAACAGAACAAAATAATATTGTAAAAAAGTAATCTTTTAAAAATTGAATAAATGCAAGTTTTATTGAAATGATACAAGATTAATTTCTTCTATGTGAATTGAGTGACAGAAATTACAAAGATAATAATATTAAAGAAAATCTATGGAAAAATATAAAACAAATATCTAAATAAATAATGAACCACTCTAAATAAATGAACCCGTATTAAAAGTTCATTATTGGTTTCAAATTAAACATTCTAATAACATCTATTTTTTATTACTGACGGACATAACTTATGAAAATTTTCAGATCACTGCAGTCATATCGCGCAAAGCATGCGCCGTGTAGTAAAAGACTTTTATTACGTATCACAAACGTGATCACGTAAACGAGTTTATTGCGTAAAGAACACCCACGGTTACATGATTGTAGTAAACTGAGATTTTATAATGTTAAAATAAATATCTTGTTTAAAATATTTACAATGTAATAAATACAAAATATATTATGTATTAAATAAACTTTCTAAATGGGGATACTTACTTGAATATCTGGATGAATTGCCAACAATAAAAGACAAAAGCACATTGTAATAGCACTGGAGTCACTTCCCTGCAGAGATTAATTTATAATTATAATCAAAACAATTATTTAACATTTTACTGCTTTAAACAACGACTGCCTTTCCAAAGGTATGGGCGATAAGGCATAAAAGATAATAAAACAATTTTTCAACGAACATAGAAATAGATCAGCATTTTTAAAAAAAACAGTGATGGAAAAGTCATAAGTAATGAAGAGGAAAAACTAAAGACATGGAAAGATTACATAGAAAAACTATATAGAAAGAGCAAGCAGACAATATACAATTATCCATAACGAGATGGGAAGATATGCAATGAAACACAGGACCACCTATATCAAGAGAAGGATTTGAAATAACCTTAAAAAAACTTAAATGTAATAAAGCACCTGGGATAAACGAGTTAAACGGAGAACTATTAAAGGCATTAGATGGGTATGGAAAATATATTCTGTTTAGAATAATAGGAAAAGCATAAGAGAGCGGCATAATTCCGAAAGATTTCGAGAAATGCATTAAATTCCCATTCCCAAGAAAAATAAATGAGATAGATGTGAAGAATACAGAACAATTAGCCTCATAACACATGCTTCTATGATTCTCACAAAAATAATGCACAAAAAAATAGAGTCGAGAGTATATGAAAATTTAGCGGAAGACCTATTTGGTTCCAGGAAAAATAGAAGCACTAGAGAGGCAATAATATGCTTGTGCAAATGTTGTATTTCGCAGACGATATTGCTGAAAACGGAGAAAGTAAAGAAGACATAACTATCATGCTCAAAAAAATGAACAACACGCTTAAAGAACACACCATAAAAATAAACTAACGGAAAACCAAGATCTTTAATATGTAGCAAATAGCATATTTATGCAGATATAACTCTAGATGGAATATTCCTAGAAACAGTTCAAAGTTTCACATACCTGGAAAGCAAAATTACAAGCGATGGAAAAAGCCATACAAATATAGTATGTAGAATAGCGCAAGCTAAACAGTCCTATTATAAAAAGAGAAATATTTTTACTAAAAACAGAATAAGTCTGGACACCACTTATAAAGTGGAAAACACTTATAAAAAGCTTTATGTGGAGCGTAGCTCTATATGGAGCAGAGACTTGGACAGTAATGAAGGTTGAATAAGCCAAAATAGAAGCTTTTGAAGTATGGTGTTAGAAAAGAGCGCTAAAAATATCATTGACGGGAAAAGATGATGAAGTTTTCAGGAGAATGAATACCCGAAAATCAATATGCAATACGTCAAAACTGAGGAAGAAATTATGTATCGGATACGAATAAGGAATAGTCCTTGGATAACCACAATAATAGAGGGAAAAATCGAAAGAAAGCCTGAAAGAGGAAGGCCCAGAACCCCATTTCTGAAGCAAATGATGGAAGATACTGAAATAGGAATATACTAGGAAATAAGTGGAGAGGAACATCAATAATCATTTAACCAATCTTCGGATTGATAAAAAATAAAATTAAAAAAAAAAACTGATTTAAAAAATACTCACAGCACTCATCATGGTCACAACTTCATCCCGAAGTTCTATATCTGTTAAATTAACACCGATTTCATTTAATTCTAATAGAGTGTCCAGAAACCCTTTTGAAGGTTTTTCTATGAGTAAAAATGATGAAAAAAAATGAATAAAATAATTTAGTTAATATTAAATGAATAAATCAGTTTAGTTTTAGTAACAACTTACTTTCGCCTTTGTCAGTAGAATTATCAAAACTATTTGTTTTATTTGTTATTTTCCTCTGAGCGTATGCTTCTTTCTTTTCTTTAATCACCTGGACAGATATAATTTATTAAGAATCACTCAATACATCCAATATCTTGTGAATTTATTTTAATCTCTTAATAGTATTTACCTTATTTGGAAGTTTGTCCAAAGTCTTATAGATATTTTGCAAACCTTTGAGTTTTCGATAAAAAGTGAATATTATATCTGGATAGAGCCATGGTTTGTATATTCTCATTGCATCTAATTCTGATGCTCTAAAAATAATCCAGAATTGTATAATTATTAGCATGTATAATATAGGATATTTTAATAATTCATTATTACTTCAATATTGTGGCAAAAAATTCGGATTTATCATTTAACTGAGTATCTAAATTGTAACCCATCATATTTTCTACACAAAAAAAGTGTATTATGAACATATTATAAACATTTTTAATTTTAATTAAATACGAATAATATACTTACCGCAAATTGTATCGAGAGTAGTGGGTGCTATATAAGATATAAGATTAAATGGTCGTATTTTATCCACTTCTTTACTTAAATTTTTAATCAGAACTTCATTTTTCTGATGAAAAACAGGAAGAAACTGATTTAGGAGGTTGGCATTGAATACTGGAGAAATTAAACGACGATGCACTCGCCATTTATCAACTGAAATTGTTGAAAAAAAAAATATTAAATCGAAATCTAGTACTACCACTCTACGTGACTAAATCACTCAATTCGCTTTATCACTTATTGATTAAAAAATCAATGTATATTGTGAAAACAATATACTACAAAATCAAATTTCAATAATTATTGTTCTTTTCCTCTAATATGCTTAATTTACATGTCGACCGTATTAATGTCTCTATCTCATTTTACCTTGTTTAATATTCTTTTCAATTCATTCAAAAATTTTTCGTTTTATGTAATCCATAACAGTTACCATATATAATATTATATGTACTAACCAGGAGCCGATAATAAACCTTCGCCGATTAGGTTCTTGAAAAACTTATAAAAACTGCTTTTTTGTAGGGCTTTGGCACTATTTAATACAATCTATAACAAATTTGGTATTATATCGGGTAGATAAATTATTAATAATAAAAATAAATTAGTATTTTATAGTGATTTGTATTGAACATGTGTCAATGATTTAAAAATTTCACCATATTGAATAATTGTTTAAATTATTGGTGTTACTAAAAAAATTAACGAAATAAAATTCAATTTTAAATTCATTTTAAAAAAATTAACAGCCAGTAAATACAAAATAAATGTTATTTAATTTCAAATATTAAATTTATGATATACATTAGTTAATAATTATTACTTGAGAGTCTTCGGGTTTAATTATTACTACGCCAAAAGATGTACCCATCCAGAGTTTGAATGGTTCGGGTCCAAAATCATCACCAAGTTTTATTAAATTTTCAAGCACCTCTGAAAATACACAATAACATAATCCGAATTTATTATAATTCATATATGTATTATATTATATAAGAAAGGCAACACACGGTAGATATTCGCCCGGCATTTTACCGCACGTTATAGACATCGAAAAACACATGAGTGTTATTTTACTGTGCGATATTTTTCATATTAGTGATTCCAAAATTCTTTAGTGTATGATGGTACATGTCAACGATGTCAGGCGAGAACATTATTTAGTAGAATATTATTAAGCTCCTCAAATTTTGGTCTCATTTTACGAAATTTTTCTCTCCATGTACATGTGACAATTTTCGAAATGTAATGCGTTAATTTTACGATACGACACTTGTGTGTTATGCTTTAAACATATTGATGTACTTTAACAAAACGCGTCTTTAAAATCACGGTGCAGTAAAAATGTCGTGCTGTAAAATATCACCCGTATGTTGTCAACCTATTATATAATATTATAATCATGTATGTATTGTATAATTATAATTTTTCTTTGTACGCCTTTCGTTAAGAGTTAAGTTATCGTGGTCCTTATTTTTAAACTTTCATTTTTCATTTTTCATTTTTTTATTTACTATAAGAAAGTAATTTTAGTTAAATTTGGTAATGAAAACTCAACCCATTTACGTGACACAAAAGGGTTGAAAAATTCTAAAATAGGGTTTACATGTCAATTTTTTAATTGAATTTAAAAAATATTGAGTTTATCAAAATTTGTAGGATATATAAATTACAAATACATTCATTTTTAATAAAAATACGTTGATACAATTTTTTATAAATCTCTTAGTATTTTCAATGAAAAATTATAAAATACTAAATATTTAATTTATTTTAAATAATTGGCTTTTATAAAAATATTTATAAATTGAAATAATAGCAGATTAATGAAAAAAAATGAGTAAAATTAATTAAAACATTGTAAATAATTAAAAATTACATTAGATGGAATCTTATAATTTAATAGTATAGTTTACAATAAATTAAGCAGAAAAATACGAAAAAACTAGTAACAGTTAAAGCATAAAAATAATTCAACATTTATTTTTCTTATAAAAATTATTCTCGTATTTGGCGTAGTTTATAAGTAACGAAATAAATTCATTGGTATTGAATATTTATTACACATTCAATTTGATTTTAAAAATATTAAAATAACGTAAAAATATCGAATTATTTGAGTATTAAAATTAATTCCATTAAATAACGTATTTTATGATGATTAATTTACGAGCACCCATATTTTTCTATAACTTAAAATGACTTGTAAAAAAAATTTTTTTCGATTTAAATTGTTCGTAAAAATTAAATTATAATTTTAAATTAGAGCTACTTCTCTTTCAGCAAGGACATTGATAACTTTTATAATTCAATCCAAAGCCATTCCTAATTGATATTCCGGTGTATTCTTTCATTGTTCAGGGTCAGACTTAAGGAATTTAGTTTAAATCTTCAATGTATTAAAAAATGAATTGATTCAGGGTTAAAAAAATCAGCAATAGTTTTCTGGAAAAAATTTGCATTTATAATAACAATTGTAATACGATTTTTATTATCTTCTGAGTCTTTGTGGTATAAAAAGTTATGACTGTTGTTTTTTTTTTAATTTGACGTGAAAAATGTTGAACAAAATATGAAAGAAAAAAACTTAAAATGACGATGAAATTATATTTCTTTAAGTAAATTTAAAGATACAGATATAATACAGGGAGCTGTAAACTATAATGATATGTAAATTTGAACCATAAATAATATAAATGTCTTCATGTAATTTATTGTATTTAAATGTTATTAGTTATTTTTTAAACATACAAATTTTAGTAGCTTAAATAGCACATGCCATCCATCGCATCCGGTGTACTCCTCCAGGCTGAAAAAACGTTATAACGCTTGATGAAACGCCACCGAAATAGATAATTATGAGTTTTAATAATTTCATGTAATCAACACTCGAACGAAATAAAATTAACAGTTCATTGAAAAATATGAAGACTTCGCCTTGATCAATTATTCTATCTTCTAAGACTTGAAACCTTTTTTCATTAATACTTTTCCACTGTTGTTTAATTATTAGAGATATTATAATGTTTGGCCAGATTCATAAACTGTGTTAACGCGTAAGAAATACAGCTCCTGAAATAATTTCTTATATATGATGACGAAATGCGAGGTATAATAATTATCTACCAATTTGTTCTTTGATTAATTTACACTCTCCATTTTTGTATTCTGTATTGATGGCTCTTGTATCAATATATAAAGATTTCACAGGATTTATTATACCCAATAAAGTTATTATTTTATCACAGCGTTTGACACTGCTTCCCCAGTACCAAATTCGAGCTTAGGAACATTGAGAAGAATACTTATTAAAGCATACTCCAGATAATACAATAGGATGACGATCAACATTATTTATCTTAGTAATATCGGGTAATATTTTGCCATCCTAGTACAAAGTCAAAGGATAATTAGGATTAAAATATGCTTTTATGTTATCGATAAATGTTTGCATAAATAACTATTTCTATGAATAGTTGAGCGTTTTATGGCGATGTTGTTTGCATTACGAAAAAGACTTTATATTGCTGTCATGAAAATATGAACTTTTATTTAATCACTTAATTGTGTATGATCTAATGCCGTTACAATTTCAAATTTATCCTTTAAAATTTTCTTTTAAGAAATTATATTTTTATTTAAAATAATTTGTCATATCATCAATCATTATTTTAGATAACATAAATAACATAACTGTATAAAAAACAATCTCGTAAAATAAATTAAATATTTATTATTTTATAATTTTTCTTCTGAAATAATAGATTTATAAGGAATTTTTTAAATGTATTATTATTTATAATTGATATATCTATCATTTTATTCTTATACTTTTTCTATAAGTGCAATATACTTTAAATTGTATTCAAAAATTGATATAATAACCCTATTTTGGAATTTTTCAACCTTTATGTGACATGTGAAGGGGTGAAGTAATCGTGACCAAATTTCATAAAAATGACTTAATTATAGTTATGAACAAAATAGGGGAAAGGAATAAGATATTAAAAATATTAAAATTTATATTTTCCGTATAATTAAGGACCGCCCTAATGTATGTATTACCATTATTTGTTACTTACGTTGGGGTGTTCCGAGAAATTCAAGCCCCGAACCAATGATCGGGTATGATGGAGGCCCTTGTAGTTTAGCAGCAAATCTGTTAATATCCTTACGATTCCATTTGTAGTGACACCATAGAATAATAACAAATGAAAATACTATTGCATAAGCAACAGACTCGAATCGAAACCAACTAGTAGATTCCACAACTTCGTCCATTTCGGCTATTATGACAAAATGTTTAATTTTTTGGCACTTTAAGTATTATGTAATGATATGCGCCTAAGCATTCATATATTTTTAAAATTGAATTTATAATTAATTAATTATAATAATCAATAGCCATTAAGTATAAGCATAAGTCGTAAGTATTAAAGATAAGATATTACACACACACGTACACCGGCTTTATATCGATTGCGCCGAAAATCGCAGGTAAAGAAAGAAAAATTATAGAATGGAAAAAAGGTATACATCTATTGCGCCGATCGATATTCGAGTTAATATATTATACGAGTACCTCATTGAACTTTTCAAAATTTGTAGGATTAATGTAAATATATATATATATATATGTATGTATAAATACCAAGTATGTAGAATGATAAGTTTGATTTTAATTTTAATTTTTGTTTTTAGCCATTATTATTTTTACTTTTACTGTATAGTTATTATACCGGCGCAATAGATGTATACCTTTTTAATATACCCTTTTTATACCGGCGTAATAGTGTATATTATACAGGTAGTGTCCCAAATTTGGAGCAATTGACGAATACCGGTACACACATACACACGCACACACACACACACACGCACGCACACACACACACGCACGCACACACACACACACACACACACACACACACACATACACACACAACATTATATATAAGGAGTATAGTTTAGTCACAAGAGAGATGCGTTCTTGTTGACATTTTGTAGAGATGGTCAAAGGCGAGTGTAAAAAAACTACGCAGATTGTCTATGCAAAAAGACACAATTAATTGTAACGTTTTGTAATAATTCAAAATACGTGTATTAATGTGTGTAAAATAAGTTTAAATAAAATTAATAAAAGTGAGTAAAAGAAAAAGTTATTATTATTTTAAAGTACAAATTGGTTACCTTATCTTATACTTCAAACGTCAACCACGATTTTCAACAGGCAGGTCGACACAATCGTCGGAGAAGTAATATTTTTTATTTATAATATAATAAATAATGATTTAAAAGACATGTAAATATTTTCCATATAACTTTAAGTCGAAAAATTTTAAATCATTAAAATTGTTTTTCTAGTAGAATTCTAGTAGAAATCTTTTATAGTGCTTACTTAATATTTGTGAACATTTTTATAACATTGTAATCTCCAATGATGTGTTGTGCCAACAATGTTATTAGAATACTCTTGTATTTTATAATTATTGGTCTCACACCTAAAACGAAAAAGTATATCATCATCACTGTCTGCACCTAAAACTGATTATGTATCTATTTTACTGAAAATAATTTACAAGAGTGACAATATTATCCTCCAAAAATGACACTTGTTAATCTTTTTGATCTCTGTACAAGGTATTCATTTGCAATAATTTTTCTGTTTGTTTAAGTATATTTTATACTATATACCTTATTACCTCATGTTTTAATTTGTGGGTGTCGCCGTGTGTGGTTTGTGTGAACCACTTACTACAAATGACTCACAGAAGAGTAGTCGTAAATAAGTACACGAAAGTAGTGTTATATATAAAAATATGTAGTATAATAAACAAAGAACTCGACGGAGTAATGGTTAACAAAATACGTTGTTCGACGGAACAGAAATATGAAACAGATGTATAAAAACAAAAGGAACAAAATGGCGCAATAGACACACAAAAAAAAAAATAAGGACGTCGGACTCGGTCGACGGATCGGTGGCGAGAGCGAGCAAAGCTCGACCGAGCGATCGCCGTAACCGTCGAAGCTCGCACAACAAGTTTAACAATTTCAACATTGATAAAGAACATGTATAAAATAATTAGATAAGAATATAATTCACAAAACGGGGTGACAGTTGGTAACGTGCGATAGTGGGGTTACGCGCCATATCCCCACGCTATTATAATCAACAAATATGATTGTTTAGTAATCGGTTGTTGATCATTTTATTTTGTCGTTCTGTCGTTCTATGACTTTGTAACTATATACGAGTACTAAGTATCAAGAAGAATTAATATTAAGTTGTAAAGTGTAATTAAAATTCATACAATTATGTTTTTTTAAATTTAATAAATTAGGTACATTATGACTTTTAAAATTAACTTTGAGTATAAAATAAACTTTAATATATGAAAAATAATTGTATTAACATTTTTTTTATAATTATCATGGTAACTCCCCCCCCCCATAAGTAAATTCTGCGTACGCCCATGTAGTTTTTTAATATTACTTTAAATAATTATAAGTATATTATTTTATTCAGACCTGGAAGTCGGTGGGATAACATTTCAACAAGTACATGACTTCAAATATCTCGGAGTCAACATAAATAATAGAAACTGTATGCATAATGAAATAAAACTCCGATTAAAAGCTGGGAATGGATGTTACTTTGCTATGTCACATCTGTTTAGGTCAAAATTATTATCTAGGAAAAATAAAGAGAAGCTATATACTACGTACCTCAGACCAGTTGTGACTTATGCATGCTATACTTAGGCTACAACAGCAGGAGATGAGGATAAACTTAATATATTTGAAAGGAAGGTGTTAAGAAAAATCTATGGTCCCGTATATAATCCTGATACCCAAGTGTGGGAGAGAAGGTCAAACGAACAAATAAAACAATTATATGGAAAAGGAAATATAGTACAATTTGTAAAAGGCACTAGACTGGAGTGGGCTGGTCACGTTTGGAGAGCGGATAATAGTATTGTCAAGAAGGTACTTGTTAACAACTTGAACAGGAAAAGACCTCGCGGCAGACCGAAGCAGCGTTGGATAGATGTAGTCAAAAGAGATATCCAGGAGTTAAGACCAGATTGGCATGGAGACCTAATACATGCATATAATAGAGAAGAGTGGAAGAATTTGATAATGGCAGCAAAGGGCCTAAATGGCCTATAATGCTATAAAAAAAAAAAAAAAATATTATTTTATAAAGAACTTAAATAATTATATTTGTATTTTTTTTTTTATAGAAAAATGGAAATTTGTGATCTAATACCGTCACAAAAAGGAAAAGATAAACTGAATGTTTATGGATATCTTTTCCTTCAAAATCAAAGCCGTAAAAACAAATTTTATTGGAGATGCAATCAACGTATTTCCATTGGTTGTAAAGGACAGACGTTTTTTGTAGATGGACAACATTATTCATATGGTCAAAATAATAACCACAATCATGCTCCCAAAGCCAGTAAACCAAAAATTGCAAAAATAGTATCAAACTTAAAGCAAAGAGCCGGGACCTCAAAAGACAAACCAGCCCAAATAATTCAAAGTATTTATGCTTCGATGGACATAAATAATGCTCAATCAATGCCTTCGAAAGATGCAGTGCGTAGGCAAAATGTAATGTCAGAACCTACGTCATTGGATTCATTGAATATACCAGAAGAATTAAAGCATACATTAAATGGTGAACTTTTTCTTATTAATGAATCTGAAATTGAAAATGATAAGATACTTTTATTTACTACATTATCGAACCTCCGTAAACTCGAATTGGCAAAATACTGGATAATGGATAAAACGTTTAAAACAATACCAACAATATTCCACCAGTTATATTCAATTCATGCTCCGGTTGGACATGGTACAAATTTGAGAATTTTACCTTTAGTTTTTGCTCTTTTGAGTAGTAAGTCTAAAGAATGTTATATTCGTATGTTTCAAGATTTACAAGACATATGCAAGATATGCATCAGAAAATAATATTGTTTTACAGCCTGACTAAATTTTAACTGATTTTGAACAAGCAGCTATTTGTGCAGTTAAACAAGAGTTCACAAACAGTCAAAATTGATTATGTCTCTTTCATTTGGAACAAAGTATGTGGCGAAAAGTTCAGTCCGTTGGTCTTTCTATTAAGTATGATGAAAACGAAGAATTTAGTTTGCTAGTCCGTCATTTGCTTGCTCTTGATTTTTTACCACCAGAAGAAATTCCATCAGCATTTGCCGAAATTAAAAAACTACTAGAAATAGAATCTGGCACAGAACATCTTATAATGTGATTTGTGGATAGTTATGTTTTTGGTGGAGTTCGAAAAACACTACGAAATGGCAATGTTATTCGAGGATTACCATTATTTTCACCAAATTTGTGGTCTGTTTTTAATCAAAATATTCCAAGAACACAAAATAATATTGAAGCTTGGCATCGACGTTGGGAGTGTCTTGTTGGTGAATCACACGTAGGAGTATACCATTTAATGAAAGAGTTGCAAAAAGAATAAAAAAAATACAGAGATAGTGATTGAATTAATACTTTGTGGAGTACCTCGTCCACAGTCAAAAAAGAAAAATGAACAACGAGAGGAAAGAATCCAAAATGTTTTACAAAATCGCGGAAACGTTACAGTTATAAAGTTTTTAAAAAGAATTACTTACAATATAACAATATAATTTTATTTTATTGCATAGTTTATACATTTTATTTTTATTTATAATTTATATCCAATAATATTTTTTTTATTTATATAATTCATATATTTATTTATTTAAATAAATTAAAATAATAATATTTTTTTTTGATTAATTTGTCGATACTTTGAATGTACATTTCGATATTGTAATTTTTCAAAATTTTGTACTTGTCGATATTTCGACCGTTGACATTTTAACTTGTCGATTTTTTGATTGTCGGCGTTTCGTACTAGATCCGGTTCATATTACTTCTATTAATTTGTTTATGGTTATAATTGTAAATACGTAGTAACTTTAAAATACGTATGAAAAAATATAATGTACCTATACATTACACTAGAATTGAAACTAAACATCTCAATAATATACTACTATAAAAAAAAATTATAACGAACTGAATATTATTATTTAACAACTAAAATAAAATTACAATGTATTATTTATATAGGAAGTATATAGTTAAATTTTGAATTGTTAGATTCATAACTCATATTATTATAATAATATTACCATCGTATAATAGTGACTTGATATGATATATTGATAACAGCCCATAGAGTAACTCTATGTAACAGCCTAACATTATGATAGTGGTCAATAAATTACGTGCATGCGCAGAATGCTTAAGGTGCATTCCTGTATTTAGACGTTCCTTAGAACATACACGTCGCAAATTGGGGGCAGTTGTCCGTAAAATGATAAGGATTGGAATCGAAAGACGGAGGCATAAAATTTGTTGTCAACATAAAATTTCAAAAAATTATATTATAAAATTATTTTTTTTTTAAGAAGTTATACTGTTTCACTTGAATGATAATTATTATATTTTTTGATAATATTAACATAATTAGTTTAATTAATTAGTTTAATAATTAATTAGTTACAAATAAAATAAACATAGGTATCAATTATATGAAATAATTATAAATTGTTGAATACTTATTTTTCAGTACATACTTAAAACTAAAACATGTAATATTTTATTCTATTTACATCTAGTATACATAGAAATTTAAAAAAATTATGAAAAACATGTATATTTTACGAAAGGTTTACATACAATTAAATATTAAGCTAGATATTTATAAACATACATGATACATTGCCAGGGCCGTATTTAAGAATTTGACACCAAGGAGCAACAATAAAAACCGTTTCATTATACCAAATACAAATTTTTGCAAGTTGAAAAAGATCTTTCTGAAGAACAATTCGTTACTGGTGTACACAAAAACATTCTAAATGCAACGTCAACATAAGAATAGATGGTTTGTAGATCTTTAGATTTATTGATAGTACTCGACTGTTACCGAGTATGTGTGTTTGTGTGTCGTGACGCCGTGATTGGCGTATATATTTTTTATATTTTATATATTTTTTTTTGAGATACACTTTTTATTTTGTGAAGAAATTACTTTTTCAAATTTCGGATCTTATCATTTCTTAGGTCCGTTCCGTATTATTTTTCGGACACGTGTCTATCACTCACACGTCGCACAATAATATTTTATTCCACCGCAATTAGTAGAACACAAGATTATACGACAACGGATTTCGGGTATTTTAAAATTTGTTCATTATCATACACAACAATTGTAAGCTCACAGTTAGACGTTCGTTAAATAAATACGCCGTTAGAAATAACATCAAAATGGACATTTGAAAGTTTTTAAAAAAACCATGGCTAGAAAATGACGAGATAGTAAGTACATTAAAATTAATTATAATTACAATTAATTCAATACTAATAATTCAAATCATTTTTCAAAATTAAATTGTACTACTATTATAGTATAGAGGTATGTTAATTTTTTGCAGGCTTTTTAGCATTATTCACTGTCACGTTTGTACAAAAATATTTTCGAGCGTGCTTTCTATTACTTGTGTATGCGCGTACGAGTGCTGTAGAACATAATATAGTCGTCCCATTCGTGATTTGAAATCTACTTCATTGAAATATTTTATTTTTATATAATACATTTTATTAAATGCAAAATTTAAATTTATGAAAACAATTATTCAATTAATCTAATTAGTTTTAACGTTTGATTTACAGGAAATTAGTTTTAATAACCAGTCACAACCAACTGAACATGCGGAAAATGCATCTCCAAAAACAAATGTATCAGTGTCACTTCCACAGTTTGTTCACCAACATGACATAGAATTATATGTGAATGAACCTGCAACCTGCAAGTATTGACTTGATACCGGGATTTCAAAATTTGATTTGAACACCTCCAGAAGACTATAAATTTCCTGTTTCCGAAAAAAAAAATTTAAAATTTCAAAGAAGTTTGTTGCTCAAATATAAATGGTTGGCTTATTCAGCAATTATGAATATCGTATTTTGTAAGTATTGTGTGTTGTTTTCTGTCGGAGGTGGAGGAATTGGACATCAAACGTTGAGACTGCTAGTTAAAAAACCATTTAAAAACTGAAAAAAGCTTTAGAATCATTTAGTTATCATTACTCACTAGAGTATCATAAAACTTCATTATTAAAATCAAATATGAGAGCAGAAATTAATAGGTAACCAAAACATTTTACCGGTTGATTTAAAAATTTCAGAACAACAATTAGATTTTATTAATGAAAGTGAAAAATGTTTGATTCCTATAATCGAAACTTTAATATTATGTGGTCGGCAGGGTTTGGCCCTTCGTGGTTCAAATGATTCAGGGAAAATAATGTCCGAAGAACCATTAATTAACGATGGTAATTTTCGGGCTCTTTTAAGATAAACTGACGATCAGCTTAATACTTTTTGCAAAATTCCTCAAAAAATGCCATGTACAACATCAGTAACCGTATATAAAACGAATTTATTGTCATCTTTCATAATTTAATTCAAAAACAGATTATTGAACGAGTCAATAAATCACAAGATTTTTCAGTAACAGCAGATGAAATTGCCGATATTGCCGGCATAGAACAAGTTTCGATATGTATAAGGTATTTAAATGTTGATAACGATAAATTAAAAATATGTGAAGATTTTTTAAGCTTTGTACCTGTAGCAAATGAACCCGGGTAAAGGTTTATCAAATGTTATTTAGAATTTCCTTGAACATTCTGGAATTGGCTGTACGTATTTATTTATTAACCTGTTTTACCCATGACTCTTATTAAGAATATAATTGGACTTAAAAATAAGAAAATTTATGATATTTTGAAATATGGAGGTCAACAATTTCTTTATAAACACGACTAATAATAGAATATTAAAAAAGTAGATAAAATATAATTAAATAGAATTTTTAAACTTGAATAACAAAATATGAATTGCATATGTAGGTACCACTAATATATGACTACATTACACAGGAATTCGTTTTCAATAGTGCTATTTTTTTGAATCAGCGGTTTTTTATGGATTCATTACGAGCTTTTTCAATCGTATCCCAAAGAAAGTAAAACGTTCTCAATCGTACTATAACAACACCGGTTATGTTGTATTTTTCGGAAACTTATGTTACTAAACAAATATCTAAACAAAATAAATAATATATAGTTATTATGATGATTGTATTACCCCTGATATTCTCTTTTTACTATGATGTGATATGATATGATACAATATTAAATATTAAACTTAGACTTGGAATTATAAAAGTAAAGTATTCATTTTTATTTATATATTCGAAATATTTCATTTCAAAAAATATAATAGTTATGTTAAGGATACGACCACGCCCATGAGCGATTTGCGGTAGTAATATATTACTAATATAAAAATAAAGTACTAGTGGCTATTAGACCTTAATTAAAAAGTAGTAAAAGATTTAATAATAAGGTGTTATTATTAGGATTATTAATATTAATAAGAAATTGTTATAAGTTTATAATATACATACAATCAAAAACTTACTAGTTCTCGGACGGTGTGGTTGATAAGGTTAAGAAAAATATTATAGATTACGTACAAATATCACACATACGGATAAAATAATAATTAATGCACGCGTATATGTTTTATGATTATAAAATAATAATTTACAATGTATAGAAACGATAATACTGATATAAATATTACTTTTCTATGCTAACGTATAGGTATTTGTGTGTGGTGTGTCCGGCTGTCAATGTTAGACTAAAATAATTCATGACAAAGATACGGTGCAATTGTGAGACGTTAGAAATTACATAATTATAATATTACGTTATTATAATAATTTACTGTGTCCGAAGGCAATAAAAATAAAAAGATTGATGTTAATCGACTGCCGAAATTCAAAATAAATTTAAAAAAATCAGGCAGGTCAGGCATAACCTGGTGAAAACATACACGAACAATTAACCGCGCACACGATTCGGTTCTGCCGAGAGAATATTGGTAGTGCATTACCATATATTATACTAAAATAATGTAGGCGATAGGTATGCACACGATAGGTATGTACCTGAAAGGAATAATAAATCCCTTCGAATATTCGGTTCCTAATTATAGACATATAAAATAATTGACTGCGCATATCATATTCTAGCAGTGTATTCGGATGAAGCAAAGATATGTGCGAGAGAGACAGAACTAAATAAGAATTACCAAAGACGTAACAAATGTATTGTTTTTTTATTATTATTGATATGATATATAAATTTAAAACTCGCGGTTAATCGTCATTTTATAAATGTTATAAAATCATTTTTGTTATGACAATTTAAAAAAAAAAAATACTTATGGAATGAAAATCGTTTTAATAAAAAATAAATGTTTTTTGATATCAGGAATATAATAAAAAAAATAATATTATTGAATAGTATATAACTTTCAATATTACACAATTATAGTAGTATATTTAATTCTTCATCATACATGCAAATAGTCATAGGCGTAACTAGGAGGGCTTGGAGGGGCTGAAGCCCCCCTAGAATTCCTAGAAGCCCCTCCAACATTTTTTGGGCAAATTTACCTACGATTTATGATGAACAGAATTTACTATCTACTATTTAGTTGGTTTTCGCCTTTCGGACATCGGTTGTTTCGGTATTTGGTGCGTGTTTTTTTTTTTTCGTGATTCCTGTGACGAGATATCAATATTAAGTATGACATCTCAACGTTCATTATTACATTTTTTTAATAAAAAAGTACCTGTGACCAAACCTGAAAAAAGTGATAAAATTATTGAAATTCCTTGTTCATCAAATTTGGTTACAAACATTAAAATTGAAATTAATACTGATACCACTGATCTCACAGATATTCGTGATATTGGTTTATATATTAATAAAAGAATATCTGACGATAAGTTTAAATATGATTTATTGAAAAAACCATGGCAGCCACCTACTTCATACAACTTTCCAGTAGTTTCAACAAGAAAATTAAAATTTCAATTATCATGGATTACACGTTTCTCCTGGTTAGTATATTCTAGTAAATTAGAAGGTGCGTTTTGTAAAATGTGTGTATTATTTTCAAATGAAACATTGGGGAAAGGTAGCTCTGTAAAAGTAGGAGCATTTGTTAATAAGCCATTTATTAAATGGAAAAATGCTCTAGAATATTTTATAACGCATTCAAATGCTGATTATCATAAATTATCAACTTTAAGAGCGGAAGAGTTTGTTAAAATAATAGAAAATAAAACAGTTGATGTAGCAACCCAAGTAAATTCTTCTAGGAAAGCTCAAGTTATCGAAAATCGCTTAAAATTAATATCAATAATAAAAACAATAATTTTTTGCGGTCGTCAAGAATTAGCTATGAGAGGTCACGACGATAGTGGGCCAATTTTTAATTGTGAGAAAGATAATAATAACGGTAACTTTCGATCTTTGTTAAGATTTCGAGCATTAAGTGGTGATCTGACTCTAAAAAATCATTTGATGAATTCATCGGGAAAATCGGTTTACATTAGTCCCATAATTCAAAATGAAATTATACAAATATGTGGCTCTCTTATTCAAAAAGAAATTGTATTTAAAGTGAACCAAGCAAAATTCTTTGCTATTTTAGCAGACGAAGCATGTGATATATCTCGTATCGAACAAATGTCTTTGTGTGTTAGATATATTGATAACGGTTGTATCAGAGAAGACTTTTTAAAATTTGTCCCTATTTATGATGCTAGTGGAAAAGGTATGGCATATACAATTATTCGAGAAATAGGAAAATTAGGACTTAAAATAGAAAATTTAATCGGGCAAGGTTACGATGGAGCGAGTGCAATGAGTGGCTTGTATAATGGTGTCCAAAAGTATATTAGAGATGAAATACCACATGCACTTTACGTTCACTGCGCGGCTCACTCGCTTAATTTAGCAACCGGAAAATCGTGTACCATTCCTGAAATACGAAACTGTATTGGGTCAGCTTCTACAATTATAAATTTCTTTCGAAAATCTCCAATGAGATCGAAGTTTTAAAAAAATGTATAAAAAAACATATTCCAAGTACCCAACAAAGTACTCTTATAAAAATGTGTGAAACACGTTAGGTGAATCGTCACGAAAGTATGTTAAGATTTAAAGAATTATACAAAGTTATAGCGTATGCATTAAATGAACTCGAAAGTAATCAAAATTTAGAAACATCACAACTAGCTTTTCAATTATCTAAAACTCATCGTTCGTCTCAATTTATCATAGCATTATATGCCATAGAAAAATTATTTTCATTTACATTACCATTATGTAATGCATTACAAAAAGTAAATTGTGATTTATCTGAATGTTGTGAAAATGTTACAAATTGTATAGAAGTTTTATCTACTATTCGTATAAATGCCGATAAAGAATTTCAAAGTTTGTTTTTAGAAGTCGAAAAAAAATTTAGTGTATTGGATGAAACAATTCAAATACCTCGAATTACCGGGTGCCAATCGTCTCGTAGTAATATGCCAGCTGAATCACCGGAGCAGTATTATAACCGAACGATATTTATACCATTTATTGATTATTTTAAAAATCAATTAATAGAACGATTTTCAAAACATAATGAAATTATTTCTGTATTACAAAAGTTGATTCCAATTCTCCTTAACAAATTTAAACCCAGTTATAATGATTTTGAAAAATGTATACTCTTTTATGAAAATGTTTTACCCAGTTACGATACATTTGAAGCAGAATTAAAAGTTTGGACAGAAAAATGGGAAAAAATTCCTCAAAATGAATGTCCAAATTCTGCTATATTGATACTTTGAATAAACTATCCGTTGATTTTTTTTCAAATATATGGTGCTTAATGTCAATATTAGTAACTTTACCAGCCTCAACAGCGTCATCAGAAAGATCGTTTTCGACATTGAAAAGATTGAAGTCGTACTTGAGAAATAGTACAAGCGAAAATCGACTAACAGGATTAGCTCTCATGTCAATTCATCGAAGTATTTCAATAAACACTGAAAAAGTGATAAATAACTTTGCAAATCTACCTCAAAAATTAGACTTTGTCCTGTAATTAAATTTATGTATTCTAATTTTCATAGTTATTAAAAATAAGTTAATTTATAACCTTCATTTAGTATATATTTTTTCATAAATCAGTTTCATAGAACTGATTTAAGATCTAAGTTCTAAGATGATATATATATATATATCTGATCTAAGATCTCCAGGTCTTGTAGAAATTTTAACATCAGCAAACCGTAAAATCGTATAATATTACGCTAAAATAATAATGTTCTAGTAATAATTACTAGTCCTACTTAGTTATAAGCATTAAAACAAATAATTTTCGTTAAACCACCACACGATTACATAACTATTACGCAAAGCCACGGTCACCGTATCGCGCAGCGACCTTTGGACCTCGGATAGCGACAAACCGCGATATGCCTAAGCCAACCGTATCCCCAACTAAGATTGTGAAAAATAAAATTGTCACTAGTAATAATGAAAATAAACGTTCCCTTTCATCATCATCCTCCTCACCATCACAATCGCCGCACGTCGTATGATCTAAGAAAACAAACCTTTTTTTCACACCAAACTGGTTTGCGCCCACTCTCCGCTAACGACAACGATACCGCCGCCGACAATGAAGCCGAGATCGACACACAACCAGAGACCTCAAATCAGGGGCAACAGAATACCACCAATACTACATTTAAAATAATTTTGCCTCCACCTATATTTATTAAAGGCGTACATGACTACCTTGGACTATGCAACCATCCAACAGAAGTCACGGCCCCTGACAGTTTCTCGTGCAAGTTGACCACTAATCACCTTAAAATCCAAGCAGACACTCCCAACAGTTATAGAAACATAATCCGTTACCTAAAAGAAACTAACACACAATTCCACACCTATCAGCCACAATCTGATAAGCCACTAAGAGTAGTTATCCGAAACCTCCATCCCTCAACTCCAGAGGAAGACATTGCATCTGCAATAGCAGAAATTGGTCACACTGTAAGAAACGTCACTAATGTCAGACACCAACAAACTAAAACACCGTTACCTCTTTTTTTTGTCGACCTAGACCCAAATGATAGTGATAGCGATATTTTCTCCATAACAACTCTTTTACACACAAAAATAAAAATTGAAGAACCCTATAAAAAGCGACAAATACCACAGTGCCAAAATTGCCAATCCTATGGCCACACTAGTACCTACTGCGCTCATAACCTCCTATGCGTCAAATGCGGTGAAAAACACCTCTCTACCACTTGTTCAAAATCACCAGATCTTCCAGCTAAATGCGCTCTCTGCGAAGGCGCACACCCAGCTAACTATAAAGGATGTACAGTATACAAGCAACTGACTCGCAAGCACAACAACTTCTCAACCAAGAAACCTCAACAACCACAGCAATTCAACTCCACCGTCAATGTCGAACAATCACAACAACACCCGGCTACTGAATTCTCGTCCAAGCCACAGACACGTTCATATGCTAATGTAACTGAGGGTCACCATCCTCCCAAACCTAATACCACGTCTCTCAACAACAATGAAGGTGAGCTTCTTAAATTTCTAAACGAGTTTAAAGCCATTCTAAACCCTCTTATAGCACTTCTCACCACGGTCCTTTCAAATCTTACAAATATCAATAATGCAAAGTAGCCCTACTTCCAAGTTTCTTCTTATCCTCACTTGGAACTCGAATGGGCTTATGAATCACAAAAGTGAAATTTTAGCTACACTCCAAAACAATAGAATCGATATCGTGCTCATTTCTGAAACACATTTTACTAATTCCTTTAAATGATGGCCAACAAGATAAGTTTTTAAATATTTTAAATATATTTTTACTACATAGATATATTACATTAGTATTAATACTTATATAATATATCTTTGTAGTATGATTTCGCCTATTTTAGTACACAATTCATTAATGGGCCTCTACATCAGCCAGTTTATGACTGAGAATAACATATTCTAAATTTAACTATACTCTAGAATGCGTCATCCTATATAAGTTTTGAAAATGGATTTAGATTTTTCAATATTTGGTTGATGCATCGGTCGGAATAAAATTTGAATTTTCATTATCGATATTATTTTTTAAATGATTACAAAACTTAAAAAATTGTAACTTAAATATAGACATAATTAAGTAATATAAAATATTTTTTAAACTGTAACACGAGCGATACATTGGAAATGTTATTAAGAATCTATAAGTTATATATATATATATCTAAATAAAAGAACAGAACTTTTTTGTGTACCAATTTTGTACCGACACTAATTAACATTTTTCTAAAATAACCTATTCAATTGATTAATCAAGATTATATTTATTCATCATTTTGATATTTACAATTATTTATTATTCATTATTCAACGAGTTATTCTAGATAATTTTATTCATTATTTAGTAAGTCATTATTATTCATTATTCAATTATTCAGTATTTATTAATCTTCATAGTATATTTTATCTCTCACATGATCCGTAGAAAGTTTAAAATTCTAACTTTTGAAATTGGAAATTTGAAATTGGCGTGTTTCTAATTTATTTTTATATTATCTGCCATCGAAAATGTCAAAACCAAAAATCATAAATAATATTGTTGTACGCGAAACCTCAACGGTCGGCCAGAGGTAATCCGAAGGCTTCGCCACATCCGATATAAGCCCGACTGTAACGTCAGTCAAAAATATAGTATACACCATAAATAATCGTACCCTTAACTTATATTAAAATAAACAACTTGTAATAATAATGTGCAAATGACGGGCGCCAAAGTTAAAGTACTAATATGAAAATATAAATTAATAATAATATTAATAATAACAAGAGTTATAATAATGATCTTAACAAAAAAATGATAATAATTATAATAATAAATTCTGAACAATAAAATAATTCAAATCACGCTACGTGTCATCAGTTGCGAGAGTGAATACCACGAACGGTCTTGGGGTCTGTGTAGTTGCACCCATACAACCGTGTACGAAGCACGTGCGACAGCCATCAAGACCGGCAGATTACGAAGAATCCTGATCAGCTTACTGGACGCGTTCAACCCCGACAACGGTGACACTACTGATGACCCTGAATGGCGGATGTGGAGAATGGTAGACCACGGCATAACTATTCGATCGACGGCACGGCCCAACCGAACACTCGTGACGAGAATGTGGGAGACAATACGGTGTTTGCACGGTTACGCGGTGATAGTCTTCAACAGGAAGAAAACAAACACGCACAAAATAAAGGTCGGCACAGCCTCGGAAAATAATTCCACCGCGATAAAGTGCGCCGACAGATCGAGAAAATTCCCCCATCGGTACGTCATCGGGAGAAACCGGTTATCGCGGCCAGATACAAATATAATAGCACCTTTGAACAATTGCTATCTATGAAGGACTAATCTATTGGTTTAGCACTCGATAATCGACATATTATTTTCCCGCACATTGAGTTTAGTAAAATATTTGCAAATAATTTATTATTATTATTATTATTATGATTTGCTGTGATATATATATATATTAATTGAGTATAAAGTTGTATTAAAATCAAATTTAAACTATCAATTTTTGCATGGAATCAAAAATTAAAATTATTTATTACTTACTATTATCATTTCTGTCATGATTATTGTTATTATTATGTATATTACTGTTATTGTTATTGCAACTATTTGCTTTGTTATGGATATTATATTTTCATTTTATTACACGAAAATCGGAAATTATTCACAATTTATACAATTTTATATTAAAAATAATCAATTTATTCACAAGTTAAATAATTCAGAATAATTTTTATTTTTTATTCACAACTAACATTATTTAAAATTAATTTAAAGACCTTTGACACACTTAATAAAGTCTTTCATTATATGATAATGTACATTGTTATAACATTGTATATTATGGAAAACGATAACATTTTCATAGACATTTTCCTTCTATATATAACAGGATCCATCTTATAAGATGACTAGATAAAATATTTAACTGTTTCTATTTAGTATGTTGAAAATGTTTTAAATATTGATTCATTACGAGATTTAATATAAAGGCATAATATTTGAAATGAACAAAGCCATGGAATCAATGGACGGATTTCGAGTGTCAAGATTTCAGTTTATGGTATATGGAACAATTTCTTTGGTTATTGCATTGTGGTGTTACTACAAATGGAACCGTAAGGACATTAATAGATTTGCAGCTAAACTAAAAGGGCCTCCATCATATCCGATCATAGGATCAGGGCTTGAGTTCCTCGGAACACCTCAACGTAAGTTTCAAATAATTATTGAAGTTATATACTAGTACCCGAAAGATAATGAAACAATAACAATAATAATAATCGTTAATTACAATATTAAAATATCTATTTAGTAATAATCACGCTGCACTGATTTAATTTTTAGAGGTGATGGAAAGTTTTAAAAAAATTACTGAAGAATACGGTCCCGAACCGTTTAAATTCTGGATAGGTACATCTTTTGGCGTAACCATCTTTAAACCAGCAGATTTGCAAGTAATATTTTTTTTTTTGACTATGTACTTAATAAAAAGTTTAAAATTGAATACTGAAATATTTATATTCTGTACTTATAATATATTAATTGTTTAAAACCTAAAAGGAGTGTTGGCTCGTGGATTGGACGATGGGACGATCCCCTACTAGTATAAATGAAAAGAAACATTTTTTTTAACAAAAAAAATTTATCAAACTGCATTTTTCAAATAATTATAATATATTATAATATATATTAAATATCATTAAAATTGTATACATTTTGTCATGTGCGAACATTAAATTTGTCTTCTCAGATACCAAAATTGTACGCAGGCGCGTACATAAAAAAGTATTTTGAGTAGGCTCGTCGTTAAGGAGGGGGCTTTAGGGGGCCTGCCCCCCTAAGAAATTTCAGTGGCCCCGAACTGGCCCCCTTGATTTTGATTTTTGGTCTCTGGCCATTCATATTTGCTAAGTGACAGCGATTTTGCCGAAATCAAGAAACGTCAAAGGGTTGATAAGTGCCAAGTTCCTAAGGACTTAATTAAACTTATGGTGGATGCTACACCGAACAATTCTTTTATAGTTATTATGCTCCAACCTGACGACTTGACTGATTTTAAACAAGCTGTCGATTCATTCATAAACACGACAAACTTAAACATTTCCAAATGCAGTTCGATTAAAATTGAAAAAAATAGAGTCGATAAGATCAAAAAAACAATCAATTAGAACACCTATAAGGTTCTCAAAAAGGAATTACAATTCAAAAAATAAAGGATTCAATTTTACCAACACTACCATGTCATAACAGTTTATCTGCCGAAAAGTAGAGAGACCAACAAGATGCTCCCGTATTTACAAGAACAAAGTCGAGCGTTCTTCGAAGAGTTAATTAAATAATTATAATTGTAATTACATTATAATAATAAATTAGTTTGTATTAATATTGAAAATAAAAATGAATTTATCAAAAAGGCTAGATAATTTGTTAATTGGTACTTACCTCGCTTGTGTTAGTTAAATGTATGGCATTACCACCTTTTTTTGAATAAAATATTATTTTTAAAATATAAGGGAAAAGAAATTCATTATAGTTTTATAATAGTTATATCAAAAATAATCTAGATTATAAATAAAAATTTGGTTTAGGTTTTTTTTTTTAATAATTTTTTATTAAAACAAAAAAGTTGAATAACTCAAAAACAATTTTTTGGCACTTTTAGATAAAAATTGTACTCATATACAACTCTATAAGTTATTTTAAAATAATACAATAATATAAATTACAATAAAATTTTATAGGTACTATGCTTAAGATACTTTGTCAAATAAAATATTAAACTTAAAAGTAATAATATTAAATAATTAATAATATATGTATAGTGTATTATTTTATTATTATGTTAAACCTATGGCTAGATGTATTATATTTGAAGTCGCACTTCCACCACCAGAACTCAGGATCCACAAATGCATAAAAGTCAATTTCGTTTTAGTAATCAACCAGTTCTTGGAACAACTAATTATTCTGTAGTGATTTTCAACTTTGACTGAAGAAAATTAAAAATCATAATAAAAAGATTTATTTTTATCTAATTAAATTATTATTTTATTTTAGATCGTGTTAAATAATTCCAAATGCCTGGAAAAAAGCAATTTTTACAAATTGTTCAAGAATGCATTGGGTGAAGGTTTATTGTGTGCACCTGGTAAGTATATCTAGTATATTATTGGTACCTTGGTAAATAAATTTCATAAAATTTAACATAAAATTGACTGAGATGGTTCAATATTATAAAGTGACAAGAAATTAAGACACATATGGTTAGCATGCAAATTAATGTAGATGAGAGGAAAAAGAAAGCAAGGACAAAATAACAATTGGAATTACATATAGTATATCGGTTAAAATCTGATTTGATTGTTAATGATAATGATTTATCAGGAAATTATCCTGTTTATTTTTATCCGTGGTTTCATAAGTTTGAAAAGATATTTATAACTATTTAAAGGGGTTCATATATCTTTGACACCCCCATGCGTAATACTATAACTAGTTTTTTAATTAAAATAATTATTATAGAACTATTTGTTTTGATAATTACAGTTGATAAATGGCGATTGCACCGTCGTATAATCTCTCCTTTGTTCAACAGCAGCCTGATGAAACAGTTTTTTCCTATATTTCATGAAAAAAACGAAAATCTCATGAAAAAATTAAGTATTGAAGTGGGTAAAACACAACCCTTCGATCTCTGGGACTACATTGCACCCATTAATCTAGAGACAATTTGTCGTAAGTATGGTAATAACTAGGGTTCGGAACTTATTGTACACAAATTATAAACAATGTGCATGCACATAAATATTGAAAATAACCAAAATATGCGTGAAAATTTGCAACTGAATATATTAAAAAAATTTTTTGATTACCAAGTTATTTTTTGATACTATTAACTTTATAGATCTAAAACAATAATATTACCATGTATTATCAAATTTATTTTCTTCGTATTCTTCTCCTGCATTGAAAATAAGATTTGGTTTTTTTAAATTAATAACCCTAAATATTTACTTCACACAAAACAAAAAAAATCAGCAAATTTGCTAGAAAAAAAAATATTAAATAGCAAAAATAATTCTAATAAGCAATAATTGAAATTTTCCTAAAAAACGGCAGAATATGCAATTCAATTTTTCATATTTCAGTGCTTTATGTCATACCAATTTATATCTTTCTATAATTATTCTACATTAATTATTAAAGAAAACGCAAATGCAATAATTTCAAAACTCTAGTAATAACCATAGATATTTATATTATACTAGATAACCGATTTCACATATAATTGTACACCCAAATATGAAGTCGGTCACCATATGCAATTAGGGCAATATTTACAAATTGATGTTATCAATTCAAGTAATAAGTGATCAACAAACTTTACCAATCATACTTATCTATATTTTTGATACAATTATTACTGAATATTGGCTAGTCGCTATTAGCTATTATTACTCGTATGAGACGTAAAGCAGCGCAGAAAGATAGAGGGAAAAAGGGTGTGATGTGCCCATGGCTCAAGTAATTTAATGGAAATATAGTATGTAATACTCAGCATTAATATTTGTTTGTAAGCAATACTCGTATTCTACTATTGTATGATATGCTTGATACGTAATTTCAGTCATACAATAACCAATCTAAGGAGCAGACTAAGACACTGCAATCCGCGACTCTCAAATTATTAAATATTCTTTTTTACTAAAACTTTTAATGTGATATTAATAATAATTTCTATTAAAACCATCTATTTTCCTTTGTTCGTTTCCTTAAGTGCGAATTCAAAAACGTCACGTAGTAGCAACGAACGTAGTACAAACCGATTTGGTACACAATATCTGTAAGTTATAAGCTTCAATATCCAAATTGTTCAGGAGAGCAAAAACATCCTTGTGTAAAACATTATAGCATGTTATATTTTAAAAATTTATAAGGTAATTTCTCATAATTATAGTAAAAAAAATTGGAGATAGTTTTATAGTGAATATGGGTTACTTTACCATCATAAATTATATCAATAAGAAAAATTTGTAAATATTGTCCTACCTGCATATGGCCACTAGGCGTCATTGATTAGTTGAATACTAATTGAAAACTCGGCCATCTAAAATAATATCTATAGTAATAACCCATATCCACAAAAAATAAAAAATAAATAGATGATGTGTTGTTAAAACAAGGATATAGTTATTCTGGGTAGATATACATTTCTCATGTTTAAGGAATAAAAAAACATATACTTGGTTGGTGGTCAGTCTTCAGATACCGATGAGCCCGACACTTATGACAAATATAAAAATGTCGTTGGCTTGAAAATAAGTGAAACAGGTACAGGATTCGTTGTACTGATGCGGAACATTTTTTTTTTATAATCGCTGATAATTTATGACATAGATTAAGTGTGAGTTCACAAACCGTCGATAATGTATTCAGTGTATAAAAACAGAGAAGTTGACACCCGACGAACATGCATACATGTTTTAAAACTAAGAGCTAATCAGAGAGTTGCATGCAAGTGTAGTGTAGGAGAGTATTGCGAGATTATCCTATGTCCAAAAGTTATCTCCTTATTTTGCCTTATTTTACCATAATTTTTGAATTTAATTTTCTATGCCGAAAAAAACAGTAATTTATAAATATCTAAAATGTGACATTCTCGAATACAGGACATTATTTATATTTATTAATAATTTATTAATTATTTATATTGTGCATATTATATGTATGTAGAAACTATGATGGGTTACAATCTCAATACACAGTTAAATATTGGGACCGAATTCGTCCACTCCATGAAAATGTAAGAATAAGTCATTAATATATCATATCAAGGATATCCGACATTTTAAATTTTTTTTTTTTTAGAGTTTCAGAATTGAATGTTATGAGAATATATAAACCATGGCTTTATCCAGATATCATATTCAGAATTTATCGAAAATGCATAGGCATGCAAAATATTTACAAAGATTTACACAAATTGCCAGATCAGGTAAGTTTTTTATAAGGTATTATTCTCAAAACGTAATATTCTTGATAAGTTATGTAATCTATAACAAAATACATTTAAACGTTTAGGTTTTAAACGTTTAGGTAATCAAAGAAAAGAAAGAAACATATGCTCAAAAGAAAATAACAAATAGAACAGATGCTTTAGATGATTCTTTCAACGGAGGTAAAAATGAGTTATTATTATAACTATATTATAGTTTTTTTATTTTTATTTTTTATTTGATTAAGGCATTCCTAGCTACGTAGCTATCTAAGCCTATTGATAATGTACAATTTTTTTTACAACTGTTTCTTTTTTTTAAATGTTTTCTTTCTTTCTTTAAAAATAATTAGGATATAATAATAAGATATTAAATTAATAATTATTAAGATTAATTTAGATGTTTATCTGGCATGACGTATCCAATTAGGCAGTGACTGATGGTGGATGTCGCTCTCTGCGGTCGTGGGATCTTTCTCTCCTGAGACGACAAATATTTGGAGTGCCTACATTTAAGTTATAATGCGTTGCACCGTATGAGTTCATAAGCGAGTGGAATAATCTGTTTGCTATATAGTTTATGTGTTCATCAATAGTGGGGATTTTCAAGTCATTATGCAGTGCTTGGTCGCATACAAATCAGGGAGCAAATGTTATTATGCGAAGTATTTTGTTTTGGAAAATTTGTATTTTGTTTAAGTGATTTTTAGCACAACTACCCCATATAGGACATGCGTATAAGATTAAGGGTCTTAGTAGTTGATTATATATAATAAGTGAGCATTTTTTACTAATAGTTGATTTTCTATTTATTATTGGAAAGAGAACACCTAAGCGTAGGTACGCTTGTTAGAGTTAAACCGATGACCCGTCAAAATATCTCCGTTAAAAATATCTCCTGTAAAAAATATTTCAGATTTAATTATTATTTATTATAAATGTAAAATTACATTATATCACAATTATTCATTAATTAATTAACATGTATTATTATTTATGATAAATTTAAAATTTTCTGATTTTCTTTTTTTTAAATTTAAAATTTTTTATTATAAATTTAAATTTTTATTGTTTTAAAATTTGAGATTATAAGCGATTTCTCTTCAATATTGAAGAGCTGTAATGTCATTGAATTTTTCTACAACACATAAAAGCCTTTCGTCATGGTCCTTATACTTTTTCCTTTTTTTTTGGACTTGGCTCTCCAGAAATTAATTTTTCTAATTTAACCTGTGAATATTTTTTAATTTATAATCATGTATTATAATATTAATTAATATATAGTAATATTATATTATAACTGTATAATTTGTATAAATACCTCTTGTAATACTAGTTTTTGTTTCAAAAATGAGATAAGCTTCCAAATAGTTACGTGATTTGCTCCTAATGACGAATTAAATGCATGGTACCAGCCCTCAATTGAGTTATTTGTGCGAGGATTTTTTTACTTTTTTTATTCTATTTATTTATTTATTTATTTTTTTTTACTAACTCTTTCATAACAATTTCACAAACTAATTTCAAATGCAGATAAACGTCTACGATTACGAGTTGAACGGCCGATTTAAGTATTCTCAAAATAATCTACTAAAGTAGATAAATTATTTTCATGTTCAACAAAATAAGTTGAATCAACTAATTTTTCAAAATAATTGATAAACTTATTTGTTGGTACAAATGTTAAAGCAGTCAAATATCGTACATGTAATAATACTCAACATTTTCGGAATATAAAATCTGTAAGCCATTTTCTTGAATTTTTCGCCATATAGGTACATTATTGCAAATGAAAAAACATCCTTTTATTTTTGTTTATGGAAATTCGCCATTAAATGCTGTTACGAATGCTTTTTCAATTAAATATTTTAAACAATCCCAAGATCTAAACACATACATATCCAAGACTTATAACGTAAATATATTTTATTAAGATATAATTAATTTATACTAATTGCGAATAGCTCTTCAATACTCAACAGATTAATTTTAAATACCTATAGACTAATTAAACATTAAAAATTATAATATTAGCGAAATACGGCAGTATTTTTTTTTCTAATTATTTATTTATTATAGGTAATCAATTTATTTTATCTAACAAAATTATTTCTTTTTCAACCAAGTCCGGTAAGAGATGTTCCAAAAAAAATATAGTTTAGATTCCATGTAATTTTGCCAGAAATCATCAGCACGTTTGATTTTCTCGTACATGAAACGTGTAAATTCGAATTTAGTTTTTCTTACATTATAATAATGGATTGCCTTTTTTTTTTTAATCTGCTCGGATACTTTCTAGTTTTCACTATTTACAATGTTATTTTATTTCAAATAAAATTATGGTACGAAAAATATATAGAATAATAATTGCTGATATGAAAATTGACTGAGAAGTGTCTAATCATTAACGTTTGCACCACACTATGCATGATTCGCGTTTCGCGTTTCGTGTCTCTCGTTTCGTAGTGTTTCGTAATGTTTTTGTTATGATAATATTTTAGTTTTGTGTAATTTTTTTTGAATGGGCTTTTTTTTTTTGATTTTTTGATATATTTTTCCTAAGGTCTTTATAGTAACTGCACCCACTATAACTATATAGGTGATTATCCTCGCAGTTTACGTATTTAGCTGCAGTTTCCTTTATTTTCGTATATATACTATAATGATGATTTTCTATACATTTAACACACCTCGGTGGTAAATGACAAAAATTTTTTATGTGTGAATAACACTGGAAAATTGTACACTGATAAATCTGAAAAAGTTTAATGTGGCTCATCTGAGACAACACAGTGCAGCAACCTATCTAAGGAGTATATATGTTTTGATGACTGGGGGAGGACAGCCACTATTGGTATAGGAACTTAAAGATAGTTTTGTAGGCGAGTGACCGAAATCACTTCGTACTGTAACTCCCGCAAAGCAGTGAAAATAGTTTCTTCTGATATTGAAACTGGTAGATTATAAATTAGGACAAATATTTTTGTTCTCGGGAAGTTGATAAGTGTGGTATTGGATCGAACTCTTGTGACAGCTCTGTAGTCGTCTACAGTAGTTAATTTTAGTTTTAGTGAATCTTTTTTTTGGTCCATTGTAAAATCATTTTGGGCTACAGTTGTTAATGATAAGTGAAACTGCTTATAACTTGTAATATTGTGGACAAATATAGGTGGTATTTTCCTTATTATTTTCCTCGTAATGTGTGTTGTTAATATCGGCCAGGGTGGTGTCATTTGCTTCTTCATTGTCCACTAAGTTGAAAAGCGGTGCACATCGGTTTTTATTTTTTAATTCAGGACTTTTTGGTAACGTCGGGAAGAGATTTTCTTTTCTATTCCTCTTAAGCGAGGATTTTACCTCCGTTTTGCCGGCCCCTCCTTGTCTGAGAAGCATTTGTAAATACTTTATGCAGATGCAATTTCGCTAAACGTTTTTTACGGAACGGAAACTTTATCGAACCTGCCACTCCGGCTGCCGATAACGAACTATACTATATTATAGTATATTTAATATTAACTAAATTTATATGTTTGTTTGATTATGTAATTATTATTAACTACACAGAAAAACATTCAAAAGTGTTTTTAGACAAGTTATTAGCATTGAACGAAGCTGGTGCAAATTTTTCCAATGAAGAACTTAGGGATGAAGTTGTTACTATGATGAGTGCTGTAATATTTTATAAAAAACAGTAAAAAAAAAATATCAAATCAAAATAAAACTATTAATTGATTTTTGCAGGGGACTGAAACCAGCGCCGTTACAATATGCTTTTGCCTTTTATTATTAGCTATCCACCAAGATATTCAAGTAAAAACAGTATTTCTATAGTTTATAATCTATATAATAATATTTCTTACGGATTATTTTTTATTCAATCTCATAGGATAAAGTTTATGAAGAAATTTACGAAGTTTTGGGCGAAAATGATGAATTAATTACCTTTGAAGATACATACAAGCTTAAGTACCTCGAAAAAGTGCTAAAAGAAACCCTTCGACTATACCCAACCGGTCCAGTGTTCCTTAGAGAACTTCAAGGCGATATTAAGATTTGTGAGTTAATATAAAGTCTGTAACTTCAGTTTATTCTAGATAAAAAAAATTACATAAATTATATTTTAGCTTCAAGTAATTATGTACTTCCAAAAGGGACAACGTGTATTATATCTCCAATGATAACGCACCATAATCCTGAGTTGTATCCGAATCCTTGGTTATTCAACCCGGATAATTTTAACTCCGAAAATGTGATGAAACGGCATAAATACAGTTTTATACCTTTTAGTAGTGGTCCAAGAAATTGTTTAGGTAACACAAAATTATTTTACTACAAATAATTTTATAATTTAAACCCTAACCATTTTACTACAGGTTCCACATATGCTATGCTGTCTATGAAAGTCCTTGTTTCTACGTTCTTGCGAAACTATAGCGTGCACACTGACACTAAATTAAGTGACATAAAATTAAAAATGGACATACTACTGAGGAGCGTTCATGGATATCCAGTAACTATCCGATCGAGAGATAGAAGATATAATCGAAATCAGAAATCATAGATCACTACTGTACACAATATAGTATTAGTTATTCATATACTACTTTTTTGAATTAAAATAAAAAATAAAATGAGGTTTATTATAGTTTAAATAATTGAGTGAATATATTTATATTTTTATTTTAATATGCTGAATGATGATTTTTTTTATTATTATACGTACTGGCCATTATTCATTTGTTTCTTTTTCTCTATGTATATAGGTATATGAATTAGATAATGTGCTTGTAGTAATACCAAAGAATAAATTAAATCCTAATGGAAACGCACGAGTGCTTAAGACCGTCCATAAATACTGTATGTCATATTGAAAGGGATCCTTGTGGATCCCTTGGATCACCCTGTGATTATTGCACTAGACCGGAACAATCACTGCTTCTGTTCCAGTCAAATCATACCCCCGGAAAATATTACCCTGAGGGGAGGGGTTAAGACTTTCCTAGGTTTACCCCCAGTACAATTTTTCTAGATTATCTTTACCCCCAGTAAGATTATCCTAGGTTAATTATACCCCCTTCAGTGTGTACGATTATCCAGACTTGGGTACTATTCCGAATTCAATATTCGGAATACTGTATTCAGAATACTTTTTAAGTATTTCGAATACTTTTTAAATACTTTTTTAGTATTCAATAAAGTATTTTGGATACTTATAATGAGTATTCTGAATACTGTATTTCGAATACCGTCAAATCATTTATTTTTTAAATGATTTTATTACTTCTCCGTCGTGTCTTATACAAGCTAATATCAGGTATTTATTATTATTGTAAACCATAAATTATAACAGTTAATTAATATAAAAATACAATAAAATAACATATATTTAGTCTACAATTTCAAATATCTTTGTTGAGTGGACATCTATTATTTTTATAGTTTGAAAACTAGAAGTATTTTAAAAGTATTCCAAATAATGTATTCGGAATACTATTTTTTTGTAAGTATTCGAGTATTTATTCAAAATACTTTTAAAAAGTATTTTACCCAAGTCTGCGATTATCCTAGAAAAGTTTAACTCCCCAGTAAGAATATCCTAGGATAATCTTACCTCCCGGTAAAAATTAACTAAGGATATTGTACCAAAACCTAGAAAATCAGCTATAGTAAATCTGGATACCTAAGAAAGTACGGGCACGCATTGAGTAGTGTATAGAAAAATCGGAAAATAAGTGGAATATTACGAGAACTTGGTACCACCGAAAGAATTACAGACATATCTTTGTGAGTGCAAGATCAGATACAATTATGATAGACATCAGAAATATAACACGGAAAACTGCGAGCGTTTGTGCTTGGAATTTTTATAATGTTCACTATAACGCTCACTGGTGATTCGAGTGAATTATTATGTGATATATTTCCTCCGTTAGAAGTTAGCAAAACCTCACAGCTGTGCCTTTTGAGCTTATATACGAATAATTCTATACCTAATATCGAACCCGGTTGTAATACGATAGGATTTAAAAATGAGAAAGACGAGCGTTATAATATAGTTATACCTACGGGGACTTATGAGCTGTCTAAGTTAGCAATGTACATACAAGAAAAAATGGCCGATTCGGTTAGGTTCGATTTAAAAGCAGATTACAACACGTTGAAATGTTTAATAAAGTGTTATGACAAAATAAATTTCACAATTCCAAATAATATATCTAAATTATTAGGCTTCGAACAAATTGAATATAATGCTGATACTACGCACGAATCACTTAATATCGTTCATATAATGAAACTTAATAGTATAAAAATAGAATACAACTTAATATCCGGTTCATTCAACAACGGAGTCCCGGATCGAACCATACATGAGTTCAGTTGTTCAGTCATCCCTTCTGTTGCATCTAGGTACAAAATCTGTGAAATGCCAGTACATTCCGTATTCTATCCACTTGTAGACTCATCCATCAGTAAAGTGAGCATAACGCTAAAGGATCAAGATAATAATTTAATAAATTTACGAGGAGAACCAATCGCAGTTCGTCTTCAGATTAAACACTGATATGGCCATCAAATTCAACGTACAGAGAGTACTGGACTCTCGGAAGACGCTGTCATGTGCATTCAGAAGTTGGGATTTATGCAAGTATCCAGTTCTCCCGCAGAATACATCTCATATATGGACTGTCAAATCTTGTAACTTACTTGAAAAACCTAGGTTTGCAATTATAAAATTTCAAACAGATCGAAAAAATAACTTGAATAACCCCTCAGGATTTTTCGATCGCTGTAACTTGAAAAATCTTAAAGTTAATTTAAATTCTGAGGTTTATTCGGATGAAGATTGCCGTGCAGACTTAACGAATAAAATCACATGGAGACACATGGAAAGTGTGTGCTCTTTAGTGAACATGTCTTAAGTTAAAATATGATTAATAAAGTTTAATTATTCACTTAATTGTGTTATTTATATATATATATATAAAATAAATAAAGATAAAACAATAGAATCTTGTTCTATATGGCAATTTATACAAAAATATTTGTATATTATCAAAAATAAATTTGATAAACCTCTACCCAATCTAAATCAATTAATTTTTTGATTCAGAAAATAATATTGTATAGTTAAATATATTATAAATGTTAAGATTATATCTGTATAGTATATTGTAGTCTATAATAAATACTTGTCTACATGTTAATTACTACATGTTTTTAATTATAAACTGTATCTTTCCTAAATTATTAAAAATTATTAAAGTTGTTAAAATGAATTGGTATAAATAGTCTGAAAGTGATAATAATCATTTTTAAGTTGATTACATATAAAATATTAATGAAATGTAAAAATAAAATGTACCTAATATAATTGTAAAAATACTAATTTGTGTAATTTAGTAGAGTGACTATATAATTTAACTTAATTGTATTTCTAAAACTCAATGTTAAACCTATAATTTATTTTATTTATTTATTATTAAATGTATATGAATCTTCATAACACTAAGCCAATATAATATAAAATCATGATCTATTCTAATTTATATTGTTTACTCTATGTAAAATTAATTGTGTTATTATATATTTATGAACCTACTTACATTGTTTTATCTATATAATTTATATTTATTTATGTTTAATAATAATTGAAAATATATACTAAATAAGAAAATGTAGTTATTTTTTTTAATACCTACTTATATCTAAATACGTTTGTAGTTTGCAATTTGCATACTTTATTTTTAATGTAACTATAATAATTTCAATTGATATGATCGGAAGATTTTATTGAATTGATGTACCTATTTTGTTGGATTGAAACAAATTATTTTAACAGTAACTTATATATTTTACCAAAATAATAAAATTATTAGTCTTGACAACAATTTCTTATGATTTTTTTTTCAAATATTTGATTATATTAATGAAATATTTTATTGTATTAATAAGATATATTGTAAAATAATGTTATCTGTGATAATATAATATTATCAAATTAATAGTATAAATTGAATCAATATGATAAAATGTTTGTCATTTTTCAAAATTATTATGAATTGACAATTTAATTTTGTTAGTTTGACAAATTCGTTTGTAAGCTGAATAGTGAAAAAAAATTGTTGATTGAATCAATAAAACCAAGGTTTTTTTTTTCAGTGTACTGATACATAATAGATTCAAATGATTATATTCGTCAAAAAGTTCATCTTCATCGAATTTCGCTGTTGTATTATTCCTAAAATAATATTTAACACTTTCTTGAACGTTACTCCAAATTAGAAAATCTAGTAGGTATTTATATCCTAAAAATATATTTATATACTAAAAACTTTTAGTGATTCAAAGTGACATCACTATTTTTCCACGTACGATACAAACATTTGAGGTGCATCGTCGCAGCATTCGTATATTATCATAACCATATACGAGTACACACACTACCTATCTCATTTTTTTTGGATCCAATTTGTATTTATTTGTACCCTCCTTAAATCAATTTATATTCCTCTCCCTTTTACGCAAAACCGATTCCCCCATCTGGGTGTTATAACGACGTTGTAGTGGCACCCAGCGACAGGATTAATAGTTGTTGTTTTTAAAAATCTTTGTTTTTCGATTTGCCTTAATGTAATAACTTTATGAATGAATTGTTTATTAGGTGATTCTTTGCCCACAGATATGATTTACAAAATATAAACTAAAACTCTTGTCAGGTATAAGTTATTGAGGTCTATATAACCAATTGCAGATGTGCACTGATGATTTTTAACCTTATTTTTAAAAAAAATTTACATTATTTTTTGAGATATTTTGAATGGAATTGTGTATCTTTAGAAATGCATTACCTCAAAAAAGTTGTTTTCAATTTTATGTTTTTTAAAATCCACTACCTCGTAAATTATATTTTATTTTTGTATTTTAATGGATACATCACTATGAATTCCTTATTTTGAATCAAGTATCCATTAGTGTAAGTAAATCACTTGATTATATCTACTCTATTTTATTACTAAAAAGACACTAAGTAAAACTATGTAATAAAAAGTCAAAAAATATTGCTGTTATTGCTTTTTAATAGAAAACATTTAAAAAAATTATAATAGTACAAAACAGTTAATGAATATATTTTGATTACCTACTTGGTAAATAATCTACAAAAGAAATCAACTTTTCAAATAAAACTAAAAGATAATCATACATTCATACTATTTTAATGTATTTAGCAAATTATAGCTATATACATAGCTACCTATTAAAAATCAAGAATTAATTTTATTAATTATTTATTCGCATGGCTTGAATTAATGAAAAATAGAAAAAGTAAAGACCTAAAATAATAAAAAATAGAGCGTCAAGTTAAGGGTAAAAATCCACTCCTTACTATTCATCCAAGGGCGCATTTAACCCTTTGTAGACCAACATTAAATGGTGATAGAAATTTGATTATTTTTTTGCACCTTTATAAATTATTATTTTTTTGATGAATTTAGAAATTAAGAAATTTGAAATTGGAGGTTTTTTAATATTTTTTTAAGGAGTGGGACAAATAAGTCCCATTGGTCATTTAAGGACTATACTTAAAAGTCCCTATGGTCCGTTACGACACTACTATTTTCTTATTCCCTATGATAAATAAGTAATAATTAGTTAAAATTTAATTAATTAATTAATTAAAAATATAATGACCATTTAAATATGTATATAATTCATGTTTCAAATTAACAACAATATAAACTTAAAGAAAATAGTTATAGTATCAAAAACTAAATGGTCAATTTTTTTATATAGCAGACTAATATTAAGAACATTGAGTGGTTACTATGTTTAATATTATAAATGTTCAATTCATAATTTATCATATAATAAGACTTTTATTAAAAACGTATAAACATAATAGTAATGTACAAAAAAAATAAAAAAAATAATATCATAATTATAATATTAAAAATGAACACATTATTTTGAATGATATTCATTAAAACATGGTTTCTTTTCATTTAAACATAAAAAAATATTACAAGTAGAACATTTAGTATATGGTTTAGATTCTATATTATTTTTGCTGCACACTTCACATCTACCTCTCGTTTTACTAAATTGTAACCAGTGGGCCCCTAAGTTCCATAACCTCACATCTGAAGTTGTTGAAAACAACTGTTTGCCCCTTCTTGGTTGTAGACATGGTCTACCTATTGAAGTCCCTGGAGATATATCCGTTGTTCTTTTTAGGCCACATTTACCTTGTGTTATTAGTTCTTGGGCAACTGCTCTTCGAAACTGAAGAACAGTTAATTTTGATTCACTAAGCTTGTTATTAATAACAAATGAATTGACAAATATAATATCAATAACACTCCAAAACAATCTATGCCACCATTTTTTTGATTTATATCTTCGATCTCACGATCGTTTAATTTTGTAAATTTATTCATTTCACCAATTAAATAAATTAAAAAAATTAACAAGTAAATAATAATTAATAAATGAACAAACAACACTCAAGAGCGAAAAAAATAGCATGCGTATAAACAATATACTTGGCGCGCGAGTGCTTGACTAAGAATATTCGTCAAAACTATAAAAATGTCGCAACAGACCATAGGGACTTCAAAGTCCGTTGTGATTATTGTCAATAAACACATATTTATACACAATAATAATGATATTCAATGGTACGTTCTGTTTCTCGGGATTATAACGAAAAGAATAATAATAAAACCCATTGCTTATCTATACTGGTTCGCGCTGTGGCTATTTATATAAATATCGATATTTATTTTATGGGCTAAACTATATTTATTTTATTATGTGATATATTTTACGCCATCTATTGATTTCACAGAAAATTTTCGGGAACATTATTGATTAAAAATGGAGTGACTTATAAGTCACTATGGTCAGATAGTACTTAATTTATTTTACCTATGTTTAAATGGATAAAATACACAGCGGACTCAAAAGTCCCGTTGGTCGGCAAAGGGTTAATTGGGACGAAGAGAGCATTCGCCCCCTTATGGCTCGTATTTTTTTTTGAATATAATACATTGATTTATTTGAAAAATGTATAAATAATTAAGAATATAAATTACTAGTCTATCATTATAACAGGAACATGAGCTGTAATGAACTGTAAATTATTTTTAAGTTTGTATTAAAAAAAAATTAGTTTCGACCCCTTCTCCTGGCATCAACTCAAATACGCCCTTATATTTTTACATGGTTGATATCATATTATAACGCAAGTAATATCGTATACTAGTATCACATCTAGACATTAGTCGATTAAAAAATTACCTATTCAATTGATTAATCTAGATAATATTTATTCATCATTCTGATATTTACAATTATTTATTATGCATTATTCAACGAGTTATTCTAGATAATTTTATTCATTATTTAGTAAGTCATTATTATTCATTATTCAATTATTCAGTATTTATTAATCTTCATAGTATATTTTATCTCTCACATGATCCGTAGAAAGTTTAAAATTCTAACTTTTGAAATTGGAAATTTGAAATTGGCGTGTTTCTAATTTATTTTTATATTATCTGCCATCGAAAATGTCAAAACCAAAAATCATAAATAATATTGTTGTACGCGAAACCTCAACGGTCGGCCAGAGGTAATCCGAAGGCTTCGCCACATCCGATATAAGCCCGACTGTAACGTCAGTCAAAAATATAGTATACACCATAAATAATCGTACCCTTAACTTATATTAAAATAAACAACTTGTAATAATAATGTGCAAATGACGGGCGCCAAAGTTAAAGTACTAATATGAAAATATAAATTAATAATAATATTAATAATAACAAGAGTTATAATAATGATCTTAACAAAAAATGATAATAATTATAATAATAAATTCTGAACAATAAAATAATTCAAATCACGCTACGTGTCATCAGTTGCGAGAGTGAATACCACGAACGGTCTTGGGGTCTGTGTAGTTGCACCCACACAACCGTATACGAAAGCCATCAAGGCCGGCAGATGACGAAGAATCCTGATCAGCTTACTGGACGCGTTCAACCCCGACGACGGTGACACTACTGATGACCCTGAATGGCGGATGTGGAGAATACAAGCCACGCGCACGAAATGGTAGACCACGGCATAACTATTCGACCGACGGCACGGCCCAACCGAACACTCGTGACGAGAATGTGGGAGACAATACGGTGTTTGCACGGTTACGCGGTGATAGTCTTCAACAGGAAGAAAACAAACAAGCACAAAATAAAGGTTGGCACAGCCTCGGAAAATAATTCCACCGCGATAAAGTGCGCCGACAGATCGAGAAAATTCCCTCATCAGTACGTCATCGGGAGAAACCGGTTATCACGGCCAGATACAAATATAATAGCTCGTTTAAACAATTGCTATCTATGAGGGACTAATCTATTGGTTTAGCACTCGATAATCGACATATTATTTTCCCGCACATGAGTTTAGTAAAATATTTGCAAATAATTTATTATTATTATTATTATGATTTGCTGTGGTATATATATATTTATAAATATGTTAACGGAAAAGATGAAAATTCAGGAATTGTCAATATATCCTAGTCATTGTTGACAATGACTAGAAAGGTTAGGCAATATTATTAATCCGCATTCAAACAAATATCAACACCGCTTTATCGGTGATCAATCTGATTATGGAACATTCAAGTCTTCATGAAATATATATTAATTTTAAATGACGAACGTTTTTTTAAATTTTTTGTGGTGTTATGAACGGAGCCCTAGTCAAACCATTGCGGAGCACCAAAGGCTTCACAGAGCACAGTTTGGGCACCGCTGTACTAGATTATATAATTCCAAGTGTCTTAGTAATTTACCACGTAACAATAAAGATTAAAATTATGATTTATCCTAAATAGCTAATAAGTATTAAAATATATTAAATTTTAATGTTATTATCAATGTCTTCTTTTATTAGGAATTTTTATCAATGACTAGTTATTGACATTAATTCCTTACTAAATCAGGCATTATCGACATTGACTAGTCATTGTCAACACGGACTGATTGTCATCTTTTCCGGTAACATATATATTAATTGAGTATAAAGTTGTATTAAAATCAAATTTAAACTATCAATTTTTGCATGGAATCAAAAATTAAAATTATTTATTTCTTACTTTTATCATTTCTGTCATGATTATTGTTATTATTATGTATATAATTGTTATTGTAATTACAATTATTTGCTTTGTTATGGATATTATATTTTAATTTTATTACACAAAAATCGGAAATTATTCACAAATTATTCAATTTTATATTAAGAATAATCAATTTATTCACAAGTTAAATAATTCAGAATAATTTTTATTTTTTATTCACAACTAACATTATTTAAAATTAAATTAAAGACCTTTGACACACTTAATAAAGTCATTCATTATATGATAATGTACATTGTTATAACATTGTATATTATGGAAAACGATAACATTTTCATAGACATTTTCCTTCTATATATAACAGGATCCATCTTATAAGATGACTAGATAAAATATTTAACTGTTTCTATTTAGTATGTTGAAAATGTTTTAAATATTGATTCATTACGAGATTTAATATAAAGGCATAATATTTGAAATTAACAAAGCCATGGAATCAATAGACGGATTTCGAGTGTCAAGATTTCAGTTTATGACGTATGGAGCAATTTCTTTGGTTATTGCATTGTGGTGTTACTACAAATGGAACCGTAAGGAAATTAATTGATTTGCAGCTAAACTAAAAGAGCCTCAGAAAAGGGTCTGTATATATATATTAATTATATGTATTAAATAAACAATAAATAATTTAATTTAAATCGCATTACTAGTTGTCTCTCGAAAGAACCGAATCGTATTGTAGTAAACCGACATTTTACATAAATAACGTCGTTTCAAAGTATAGTCAAAGTATAGAACAACATCACGCCACTGGATCGGAACATTTATGCTGCCACCCAATTCGCTAAGGACGAGTTTTGGTACATCGCGCCATTCCTATGACGTCAATCATCCTCTCCCTAATTACTGCATGTCCCATATAAATAGGAGTCGTTATTAAAGAGGTTTTTAGAGGTAGTTGAATATTCAATTATAAACCTTAATGCAAATAGCTACTCTCTGGCAGAACACTTAGATTCTGTCGACAAATTTGTAATTGTATAATTATTTTGTTATTTAATAAAAAAAAAGTTTAACTTTATTTCAACGTGTCAAAACAAACTTCGTTACTAAAAACTCTCAACTCCTTCCAATTAGTCAACACTTGGAAACGTGCATTCGTCGTTAAAAAGCGTGCAGTAATCAAGCGGTGAGAGTGATCAGGTTACTACATAAAAATATGGTGTCAGGTGCGGGGTAATTCTTTATCGAAGGAAAATTTTTGAGTAAAATCAAAAAAAAAAAGTACTTCGAGAGTCACCGACGAAACCACGTTCACGACCAGACTAAGAGGAAGAGGTTCAGAGAGTCAGTAACACGCAAATCAAGTCCAGAGAGGAAAATAATTCAAGTCAAGTCCAGGGAGCATCACACACACATTTAATTCATTTCCAGGGCAATCCAAGAAGGACGGAAGTCAAGTCATTTCACGGGCCACATCTGAAAATGCAAACTCTGTAAGTCGTTTAAATATTATATTGTATGTCTGACGGAGTAAACCAAAATTGGCAAGTAGTAGCATATAATCCGGAAACACTTAGAATCAAAATGGTTAACACGGATAAATTAGGTTTTGAGGGGGCACTCAAGTTAGACCTTCTTTCTCGGGAGGAACCGAATCCGATTTAGCTTCATTTTTGGCTAAATGTGAATTTATTTTTAAAAATATCCCCGATACATTAAAACCCAATATTTTAGAAGCTATACTAACCCAATTGAAAAGTAATGCATTCGAAGCTGTTAGATACAAAAAAATTAATACCTGGGACGAATTAAAAAATTTATTTAAAACTGTTTTTGGATTAGCATATTCAGTGTCGTACTTACAAATACAATTAAGTCAAATTCGAAAAAACGCAAAAGAATCGGTTAAAGAATTTTCCATTAGAATAGAAAAAACTGCACACGAACTAATGCACGCGTTAACGATAGATAGGGAAGCAGCCGAAACTGATATAATAGCACAAACAGTGCGAGCTCACGCATTGAGTGTATTCATAGCAGGCGTTCCACAAGCTATCGGCATAATATTAAAATTGCGTAACATACAAATTGTCGAAGAAGCAGTACTAAGCGCGATGGAAGAGGAAAAAACAACCGAGTATTACGGAAACGCGAGCGGATCTAATAAATTCCCGAACAATAAAAATTAAAATCAGCAAAAATAGACATGACTATTATATGTAGTTAGTGCAATAACGGTTGTTTGTCTGTTTCTGTTTATAGCAAGTTCCATAGAACAAGAACCATGGTGTAGAAGAAATCACAATATGAGACCAAGGCGAATAATCAAACGAAAACCAGCAACTGAACTAGTGGAATTTCAAGTACTAGTCCAACCCCAAGAACCTAAACAATCAGAATCAAATAATGATAGTTCAGTAACGAGCAATTCTCAAAATCCACCAAAGGACGACATTTCTCAAGTGAAGATTAAGATTGAGATGTGACGTCCACATCTCAAAATATGAGATATTCCGTGTATCCACGTTTATGATACGGAGTATCATTCTAAGAGGGGAGGAATGTAGTAAACCGACGTTTTACATAAGAAACGTCGTTCCAAAGTATAGTCGGTCAGAACAACATCACACCACCGGATCGGAACATTGATGTTGCCACCCGATTCGCTAAAGACGTGTTTCGGTACATCACGCCATTCTTATGACGTTAATTATCCTCTCCCTAATTACTGCATGTCCCGTATAAATATTAGTCGTTATTACAGAGGTTTTTAGAGGTAGTTGAATATTCAATTATAAACTTTAATGCAAATAGCTACTCTCCGGCAGAACACTTAGATTCTGTCGACAAATTTGTAATTGTATAATTATTTTGTTATTTAATAAAAAAAAGTTGAACTTAATTTCAACGTGTCAAAACAAACTTCTTTACTAAAACCTCTCAACTCCTTCCAACTAGTCAACTCTTGGAAACGTGCATTCGTTGTTAAAGAAGCGTGCAGTAATCAAGCGGTGAGAGCGATCAGGTTACTACACTATATTCAATACATTTTTCATATTTTATTTTTACAGAACCTGCCTGGCAAGCTTGCCTGACTACTTTTGAATTTATATCGATTTGAATTGTCAACTAACACCAAACTTTCTCTTTTTATTCCCTTCGCATATAGCAAATTATTATAACCACTTGGACCAAATTAAAGTTTATTTCATTTAATAACGACAACAATTAGTATAGTATTATGTAATTTTTAACGACCCACGATTGCTGCGTATCTTCGTCATGGATTAATTTAGTTTAACACTAACAGCCCGACACACCACACACACACACACACACACCTAACCTAACCTATACATTAGTATATACAAGTTATTTTAATATCAATATTATCGTTACTTTATATTTTGTAAATTAATATTTTGTGGTAGAAAAAACAAATATACGTGCATTAATTAGTGTTTTGTCCGTGGCGCTTGTACGTAAATTATAATATTGTTCATAACTCTACCAATTGCACCGTCAGAGAACTAGTGAGTTTTTGTATTATTTTTGATTTATGTATATTATAAGCTTATAATACTTTCTTAACAAATTTTTTATAGTACTCTTTAGTCACCATTACTGTATTTTTATATTAGTAATATGTTACTTGCGCATATCATTCATGGGCGTGGTCGTATCCCTGACACAACTATTATATTTATTTGAAATCAAATATTTCATTTATACGAATAAATATGAATACTCCACTTTTATTATTCCAAGTTTAAGTAAGAAATTTAATGTTATAAATAGGGTCCGGATTTTTATGTATTTACATATTTGTAATAATTGTATGCAGTTCGACGGGAGTAAAAAATATGAACGATTTATATAGCGGAGAATCTATAGAAAAAAGTTTATTTTGCATATAAATGCATATTTTAAGGTTGAGAGTAGAGCTCTTAATACACGTGAATTCACGGAATTCACGTGTCACGTGTAAAATTCAAAATAAAAACGTATATCCTTAACTTAATACTGTATTAATAATATTTTATTAAAACTTCAAGTGTATAACATAAAATTACTAATTTTCATCATTATAAAAATGGATTTATACTTGGATAAATACGGAATTCACGTGTACACGTGAATTCCGTGACACGTGTTTTAAGAGCTCTAGTTGAGAGCATATTTGAAGAATTAGACATAATAAAGCATATTTTGATATATAATAGTCATTTTATTTATAATTCACTATAGAAACTAAATTTATGAGTTCATGAAGTATTGTGGGGAAATATTTTGTTTTTCGGTATGTTATATTTTTGGAGAATTTGTATTAAAACTATATCTTGCTTATCGAAACAGTCATCGACAACAATGAAGACTAATTATATTTAAATTTCCTTCATACCATTATAGTTTTAGCATGATTATTATTATTATTATCGTGATTTTTAGTCTTATATTGGATAAACACGCTGCATCGTGTTGTCGTACATTTAGTTGGTATTTAATCGCCATGCAATAGTCGTCAGTCGGTAATCGCCTATAAATATAATTTCATAATCCGCATTCCGTATAAAAACGAATTTCTTTAATAATTTTTCATACACTCGTACATTTTAAAATGCCGAAAATTCGTAGTAATATTCAAACTTAAATAAAACAATGGATTGCATTGTATAATAAAACAGATCACACAATTTTTACTACGGACGGTTCTATAGTGTTTTGTCAATTATGTGACAAAAAAATCGTTTGCACAAAAAAATTTCAAATACAACAACACGTTGATACCGCTTTGCATAAAAGTTCTTTAAACCGTAACTTAATCACCATAGGAAACATATGCATTTTATTAAGTATTAGCTTAATTCGAGTTGTGTATCTGTGTATGTAGTACGTAACGTACCATCTGATGGGCGTTTACGACAAAGTGGCGCCTAATGTGAGGCTCGAACCCTCGAACCCAAGATTAAGTACACGACACTATTGAGAACAAAGTCCTGTACAACGTTGTCATATATAAGTGATATGTAGGTAAATACTTATGAATTTAATACTCTGTTCTTCAAATTTAAAAATTCTATTTAATTCTATTTTAGGTTTCACCGTTATGGTAGTCTTGGTTGTTAGGTATTACAAAAATGTGTAAATAAAATTTTTTCTAATTTTTTTCACGTTTTTTCATAGTTTCTTTTTAAATTGAATATGAATATTTTGGGTAAAAATCATTCCCCTCCCCAACTTCCGATACGTCATTGAGCTGGAATTTAGATTTATTTTTAAATATTTAAATACATTTATTTATTAATCATTTATTAATTATTATGAATTAAATAATTAATTATTAATAATTAAATAAATAATTAATTAATCCTCTTTAAATATTTTTCGCCAGACTACATTTTAAGGACTTCAGCACCAATGCTTGGCAATCATTAAACTATATTTTAAAATGGCTTGTATCCAAATATTATCTAACCATAATGGTAAGGTGCGATGCCAATAATAATAAAATACAAGAGTGTATCTGAAAGCATTAAAGTCACAACACATCATTGGAGATAACAATATTATAAAATATTTCTACAAATAATAAGTAAGTATTATAACAAGATTTCTATAAGAAAAACAATTTTTATGTATAAAAACGTTAAACATTGTACCACAGTAACCGAAATGGACATAGTTATGGAATTAACTAGTTGGATTCGATCCAAGTCTATTGTTTGTGCAGTAATATTTTCAGTTATAACTGTTCTATGGTGGTTTCACTACAAATGGAATCGTAGAGACATTAATAGATTTGCAGCTAAACTAAAAGGGCCTCCATCATACCCGATCATTGGTTCGGGGCTCGAATTTATCGGAACATCTCAACGTAATTTACAAATATAATAATAGTACATACGTCTATGAAAGGCGTATGAACAAAAATTTTAATAATATAATATAATACAATGTATAGACTATAATAAATGTGCATTAACTTATGGGTTTTTAGAGGTCATTGAAAATTTAATAAAACTCGGTGATAAATATGGGCCCGAACCATTCAAAATCTGGATGGGTACATCTTTTAGCATATTCATAATTAATCCAGAAGATTTGCAAGTAATAATTTATAATAATATATAAAATACTTTTAATATTTTAAATTGAATAATTTATTTTGTGACTACAGACTATCAATTTTTAAAAAAATAAAATTGAACAACTTTTTAGTAACATATAAATAATTTAAATTATTATTTACTATGCTGAGTTTTTAAGCCACTGGCTTATATTAAATAGAAATCACTAAAAAATGAAAAGGACATTTTTATTATTACTAATCTATCTACATGATATTGCAAATTTGTTATAGATTATATTAAATAGTTCCAAGGCCCTTCAAAAAGGCAGTTTTTATAAATTTTTAAAGAACCTGATCGGTGAAGGCTTATTATCAGCTCCAGGTTAGTGCATTTAATATTATATTGATAATTGTTATGGATTACAAAAAAATAAATTTACCTGCTTGGAATAAAAATAATATTAAATGAGAAATAATGAGACGGAGGCACTAATACGGTTAACATGCAAATAAAATGAATGAAGGGGAAAAACATAGAAAATTATAATTGCAATTTATTTTTTAAGTATTTGTTGATTGATTGTATTCATTAAAAATATAATATTATCTTTCAATCAACAAATGAGAAAGCGAAGTATTGGTGATTTAATCACGTGGAGTTGTAAGAATAGAGTTTAAATTAGAATAAGAATTATAATTTTTTTTTCTTCAACAATTTTAGTTGATAAGTGGCGAGTGCATCGTCGTTTAATTTCTCCTGTGTTTAATGCCAACCTTCTGAATCAGTTTCTTCCTGTTTTTCATCAGAAAAATAAGGTTCTGATTGAAAAATTAAGCAAGGAAATTGATAAAACACAACCATTTGATCTTTGGGAATACATAGGACCCACTACTCTTGATACAATTTGCCGTATGTATATTATACATTGTGTAATATTCGTATTTAATCGATTATTACATTATACGTTCATAATAAGCATTTTATGTGTGTAGAAAATATGATGGGTTACAATCTCGAAACTCAATTAAGCGATAAGTTCGAATTCTTTGATACAATATTGAAGTAAATACGAGTTATTCAAATATTCAGGTCTTACACACTAATAATTATACAATTTTGAATTATTTTTAGAGCATCAGAATTAGATGTAATGAGGATATTCAAACCATGGCTTCATCCGAATATCATATTCACAATTTATCGAAAACTCACAGGTTTACAAAATATCTATAAGACATTGAACAAACTACCAAATAAGGTAAGTCATTTTGAGAGATCGAATTGATCTTAAATAAATCAATTGTTTACGTCCAGGTAATCAAAGAAAAGAAAGAAATATATATTCAGAGAAAAATAACTAGTAAAACGAATGGTTTGGATGATTCTACGTACGGAGACATAAGTAAGTTATTACTCAACTTTAACTGGTTTATTCATTTAATAGAAGCTAAATTATTTTATTCGTTTTTTTTTTCATTATTACTCAAATAGAAAAACCTTCGAAAGGGTTTCTGGACACGTTATTAGAATTGAATGAAGTTGGTGCTAATTTAACAGATATAGAAGTTCGGGATGAAGTAGTGACTATGATGAGTGCTGTGAGTATTTCTTAAAGCAGTACAATTTTAAATAATTGCTTTGATTATAACTATAAATTGATCTCTACAGGGAAGTGACACTAGTGCTGTTACAATATGTTTTTGTCTTTTATTGTTAGCCATTCAACCAGATATCCAAGTAAGTAACCCCATTTAGAAAATTTAGAAATCACATTATACATTTTATATTTATTACATAAATATTTCTTATTGCATTATAAAGCCTTGGTTTACTACAATAATGTAATGCATTTTGCTCAATAAACGCGTTTATATGATAACGTTTTAATGATACGTGATGGAAGGGTTTGACTACACTGTGTATGCTTTAGGGGTGTATTTTAGGGGGGGGGCGAAAGGGCATCCCTCCTGAATCTGCATTTGAGGAATCGATTATGAGATACACATTTCAAATTTTTTTAATGTGGATCATTTTATAATGAAATCAAATTACGCGTGGCTGTGAATATTGAATTGGGCTTTTTGTCGGGTCCATACTTAGTGAAAAATCAAATAAAACATAAGCGTAACTTTCAAAACACAGACAGGTGTTAAAAAATGAATTACACAAATGTCGATTCTAAGTGGATCCGTCATTAGATTAAAAATAAAACCACAAATATTAATATTTTACTTCATTTAAATACTACCAACAATTTTACTAGTAAATTATGAGACTGAATTTGTTTAGAGATTTGTTTTATATTTTTCCGTACAATGTCTTTAATATTATTATTTTCGTAATATCTGTCATTTAATTCATATACAACAGGGCAATGTTGGCCTGGCCGTGGCCGCTGAGCCGTAAAAGCGGCCGAGGCTTCTCAGTTTTTTTTTTTTTTTTAGTCTCGTAAATTTTGTTTTTGGTAGGTATATAGAGAATAAGAACCTCGTAAAGTATTCAACTGTAATTTTTAAGAGCAATTTTTCTTACGGAGCCTAGGAAATTCAAAATTGATTCAATACTCAGATACTTGCCCATTACCTATAGTATGAGCAGTGCTTAAGAGTACAATTGTCAAGAAAAGTAACAACTGTCTAACAAGTTGGAGGAGCTTTTTTGGATTAATTACGCTATTACAAGTTAAGTTAGGTTTTATCTTTTTTCTTAAAAATAGTGGGCTCGAACGAGGCCACGAGGACCCTACTTGCCAGAACCTGTAGGGGTCCCGGGACACTGCTGTTGGGGATTATGCAAATATTGCATACATAAATACGTATAATGTATATGAGTACAGTGGTTGACATATTATTACTATAATAACTATATTATACTATATATATATATATATTTGGTCTTGTTTTTGACTATTTATAGCATTAAAGCAAAACTTGGTTTATTTTCCCAGGAAATTGCTTATCGACGAGTTCGACAAACAATGTATCATTCTATTATTCTATTCAGTGGTATAAGGTATTTAACTATTTTCGAATATTATATTACTGTAAACATTGAACAACAGTGCGATACCAATTTCTATTATTATTTATATTATAATAAAACGAGTAATAAAATAATATTATTTTTTCTTTAACTGTGGATGTGTGTCAATTGTGTGATAGTGTAAATTTAATGTATTACTAAATTACATATTAAATTATTAAATTAAAAATGAAAAGACAGTCGAATGTCTTTATTTCATTTTTTCAAAAAAAAGTTAAAGAAACTAAGAAAACAGCTTGTCAAAATGTGATTCAGATCAAGACCAACCTAGCAAAGAACTTGTAATAAAGTTGAACTATTTTTTGAAATAATCTAAATGTTTGTCATGTCAATTTCAATACACAATCCAAATTCATTGCGAAATCATTAATTAGTAACTGGTCAAGATTTGAAAGTAGTTGTACATCTAATTTATTAGTTGATATTTATTCAGCCACAATTCCGGTATCTATTTATCTATAAACAAAATTATTAATTATTTACAAGCGTGAAATATAATAGCTGCCTTGAAAAAATAAATTGAGAAAATAATAAATGACGACTATGTATTAAATTTGTATAAAAATTGTCAGCATTTTTTAAAAAAATAAATAATCATTTTTATGAAGAAGATTTAATTTATATTTAAGATAAAATGTATTTCAAAAAAAAAAAAACTTTCTGGAGAAAAGTGTTGCGATGAATCAAGAATTATATGTCCATATAATAAATTTAAATATGATACTTTTTTAATTATAGATACTATTCAAAATATTATTGAGTCACGATTCATAAAAAATAAAAATTTATTAAAAGACTTGAACTAGTTGGATAGTTGGATCCCAGAACATTTGCAGTATTTAACAACATTGAAATAATGCCTATATCAGCTTTGAGTAATTTATGTAAGATATCTGGATTGAATGATCAAGTAATCTTAACAAAATTGAAACAATTTTCCAGTAAATATGTAAACTTTATACCACAAATACCTAAATATACTACTGATTATGACTCAGAAAAAAAGTTATTTTTAAACAATAAAGATGTAAGTGGAAGTGATGAAGATAATGATGAAATACCAAAATCAATAAATTGCAATAAATGCAACAAATGTATTCACTGTGCATTTTTGATAGTACGATAATGCCAGTCCAATTTATTTTCAAATTTATTTATCATTTATAAGTTTGCTTTGTTATTGCTATCAACACAAACAACTTGTAAAAGGGTATTTTCAAAGCTTAAATGTATAAAAAAAAAACTTCGCTCAACATTACACCAAAATTATCTTACCCTATTAATGCTGATGGCTATAAAAAAACAATATATTGTATTACTATTGATACCAAACAACTGATTGAGACCATAGCTAATTCATAATTAATAATTTATAAATCTATTGTTCTGTTGTCCATGACTGACGTGAATAGTAAAACAAAGACGTGAGGAAACATTTACGCCCTTGAATTATTTATAACGCTAATCACTGTTTTTCAACAATACAACTTTTACGTGATCACGCTAAATGCAACAAAAATCTTTTTCGTTTAAACTTTAATTTGCTGTAATTCAGTCAATTTTTGAAATATGAAAAAAAGTTTGTTAATCAAAGTTCATTAAAAAAAATCGTTTTATCAACCTCTGTTGTTGAAAAAAGGTGTTGCAAAAAAAAAACCCCACAGGTTTAATTGCGAATGCGCACAATAAAAGGATAAAAAATTTGAAAATTATCACAAAATAGGTATTTTAGTACTTTGCAGATCTTGTAAAACCTCATTTCAATCTAAGGCCGGCCATACACGATGCGATTTACAACAGAGGTTTACTTGTATAGCTTATCTACGCGGGCAAATCGGAGCAGAAGATCGTAAACTGCGGCAAAATTTACCTTTTTCTAAAAGTCGATAAGTAAACTGCGGCAAAAAAAAATGTTGATTATACAATCTGCGGCAATTTATTATATATACCTTCTATTATAGAAGATATATATAATAAATTGCCGCAGTTATAGTTTTAGTTATAGTTATAGTAACGATATACACGTTTATCGTTTAATTAGGAATAATATGTGTTAAGACCAGGGCTTCAAACCGATTAAAACAGTTTTTTTTAATAACCGGTTTTATTGGAAAATGTGTATAAACGAAAACAAAATTGGAACCACGTTTACTTATTTTATAGAACGAAAACGAAATAGTTAACCAGAAAAATATTTTTCGTTCTCAAACGAAAATAAATAAATTTTTAATTACGAAAAATAATTAATATTTAATTTTAGTTTTTACACATTTTGTTAAGTTGGTCAGCTTTTTGTTTGACAAAAGAAAGGTAAAAATTATTAGATAAATATAAAATAATTCGCAAAATAAAAATTGAACAGTTGGTAAGTAGGACTACTGGTCGTAACTCTACACTACTGTAGATAATACGTGAACACAATTAATGACAACTAGAAACCACATTGTTTATTGTTACCACTTTTAATAGACGATGGTGTTGTCTTAAATTGTATCAAATATTTGTAAATTTGTTTAACATTTTAAATTAATATGGTTCTTCTTTTTTATCTTACTCGATAATAAATATTGCAGTTATGTTGTTCATTATGTGTGTTAGTATATTCAATATTATAATAAAATTTAAAAATGTGTACCATATTATTTATTGTATATTAATATACAATCTCTGAAATAGTATTAATATATATTTATATCCTTACTCAATGTAGCGTATAAAATATTCTCGAATTGTGTTTTAGACAGAATAAAAGAAAAAGCGGATCAAATAATAGGGCACTATCAAAGAGGTTTTAGAGCTGACAGATCCACGATGGACCAGATGTTCATAATTAGGCAATTGTATCAAAAATCTTGGGAGTTTGATAAAGAAATTCATACACTTTTCGTGGACTTCAAGAAAGCGTATGATAGTATCCATAGAGAGAGTCTACTGAGTATTATGAAAGAAGTTCATTTCCTGCAAAAACTGGTCAATTTAGTTTTCATTAGTGTTATGGAGACCTTGATAAGAGTTCAGGTAGGAAATTCAATAACGGAACCGACTGCAGTGAATTCGGGGCTAAGACAAAGTGATTCGCTATCGCCGGTTCTGTTAAACGTGGTGTTGGAAAAGGTTATTAGAGAAATGCAAATTGGGCCTAACGAGGGTATTAAGCTATAAGACACATCGATAGGCCTACTTGCTTATGCTGAAGATATAGTATTGATGGAAGAGTCTCAGGATAGGTTGAAGACTTTATTTAGTAGGCTGTATAAAGCAGCATCAAGAGTAGGACTTTGTGTAAACGAAGAAAAAACGGAGTATATGCTTATGAGTAGACGGAGACTACCTATTTGCCAGTCCATAAAAATAGATCACTATGAATTTAAAATGGTAAAACAGTTCATATACCTAGGTTCTATTTTGACTGAAAAAAATAATATAGCAAGCGAGGTAGCTGCAAGAATTTAAGCTGGGAATAAATGTTACTATGGACTAACTGAGGTACTAAACACACGAGCAGTATCGCGAAGAATAAAAAAACAATTATATACGTCTATAATACGACCGGTTGTATTGTATGGTTCGGAAACATGGTCACTTAGAGAAATAGAGGAACATAGATTCATGATCTTTGAAAGAAAGGTGTTGCGGAATATATATGGTCCTGTCAAAGACGAAATAACTGGGGAGTGGAGACGAAGAAAGAACATAGAGCTGGGAACATTATATTGTAGTTCGGACACATTAGAAGTCACCAGAAACAGAAGAATACGATGCGCTGGCCATGCTAGGAGGAGCCAAAATTCACTATTACAAGCAGTGATTGAACAAAATCCTATAGGTAAAAGGCCTCTGGGAAGACCAAAAATGCGATAGGAAGATATTATAAAAAAGGATGTTGAATAGTTAAGAGGTGTTTCCAATTGAAGAAATCTAGCATTGGATAGAGAAGGATGGAAGCTTGGTTGTGAGATGGGATGGTCTTAAAGGCCCAATAAACCCAAAAAAAAAAAAAAATAATAAAAGATTAAAATGTATATTAATATACGGCCTCTGAAGCTAAAAAAAAATATATTATAAATAAATAAATTATGAACTTATTTTAAGAATATCTCACGATAGTTAAATTTTGTAATTAATTATTTCATAATTATTACAATGAATTGTCTGAGATATAAAATTGTTATAAAAAAGTTAATTTATTTAAAAGAACAAAATTAAACGGTTCTATTACATTGAAAACCGGTTTTAAAAAACTATAAAATATAAGATCAATATTAATCAGTTTTTGAAACCGAATAAAATAGTAGATGAACTAAAACCATTAACCACAAAAAATCATTATGGTTTGAAGTCTTGGTTATGACAGCTGTTAGTCTAGAGACTCTTTATATTAAGAGTATATGAGTATAAGGCATAAAAATAAATAAAAACCAATTTTTAAAAATGAAAAATATTATTATTATTATTAAAAAATATTTTAAGAGACCTTAATGATCGCGTGTAACTAAGGATGAACATTTTGTCCTTTATTTTTAAAACATACTTTTTTCAAAAATGCATATCTTGAAATTCGTCCTTCTTCTTTCATTTAACGCTGTTTGTTAATAAATTTCTATTTTTGCGCTGTCGCTTTATTTCTTTTTTGTATTATCCCTTCTTCTACATTTTTAAATTATATATATATGTATCAACTTATATATGACTAGTATAATCAAAAGTAAAGGAACCGATATCACCAGTATGTTTCGTTAAAACTTAAAAAGACATTTGGATTTACCTTACCACTTTGTACGCAAGACGCAACATTTCATAATTAATTAAACGATATACGTACATAGGTAGATATATATAATTTAGGTATTATAATAAATAGTATATATAGAAGTTATGTATTTAAAATTAATTTCCGCAGTTTGTATAATGTATCTTATCAGTCTTATTGCAGATTGTAAAATCTTAAATTTTTTTTTTCCGCAGTTTACATACAGTCACCGATCACCAAAGGGTGTATACGAGCTTATTTTTGTGCAACTGTACAGATTTTGAGAACTGTTCAGTTTTCCAGAAAGAATTGAAAATTTATATTTTTTACTTGTACAGTTTTGCAGAAACGTGTATGTGTGGTTTATCTGACAACTGTATAGGTTTTATTTTAGTTTTGTTAGTTTAGTTTTTAAATACTCTCCGTTAATTTTTTTTTTATCATTTTCATAATTTTGCAATTTTAATTAAAAATTCTTTTACCAAATGTCGAATCGAAAGCGCAATCAAAAAATGGAAGATTTTATTGAGTTATACCAATATTTTACGGTTTTTGTTTTTTTTTTTTTTTACAATTAATACCTAGCTGAAACTAAACCAATCACTGTGAGTGCGTCATTGTCTTGCGTGCATGCCATGGTGACAGATGAAGTCAACTGATGGTTTAAACCTGATCATTAATTCCAACGTGTGTATGCGCATTGCCTGTACAGGTAAACCTGTACTTTTTAACTTCACAGTTTACCTCTGCAGATAAGACGCATCATGTATGGCCGATCTAAGGTCTCTGGACGAAATTATTTCGTGTTATCATTTGAGAAATGAAACAAACTGTACGTATACAGAATATATCAATAAGCCATTATATAACACTTGTTCAGATTCTATTTTGTAATGAGAGTATAATTTATTATAAACCCCATCATTTCCTTGATATAAGATGCTTGACTATTTCACTCTAATGGAGAAAACTTCATTTTTAATTTTTATTTACATTGTTTATATTATTATTTTGTTCTGATTCCTATGTTTATAACTTTTTAGGATAAGGTTTATGACGAAATTTACAGCATAATGGGCGATGGTGATGAATCAATTACCATCGAAGACACAAATAAGCTCGTTTATCTAGAACAAGTGATAAAAGAAACCCTTAGGCTATTCCCAGTCGCGCCTATGTTTCTGAGAGTACTCCAAGATGATGTTAAAATTGGTAAGTTACTTATAAATACTAAAATTACAATTTATTGTGATTAGAAAATAATAAAATTCATTATATTTTAGTTTCTTGTCCAGATGTAGTTCCAAAAGGAACAACATGTATTCTAGCTCCTTTATACACACACCATATTCCTGAGTTGTACCCAAATCCTTGGTCATTCAAACCGGAGAACTTCAACCCCGAAAATGTAGAAAAACGGCATAAATACAGTTTTATACCTTTTAGTAGTGGTCCAAGAAATTGTTTAGGTAACATAATGATATTTTATTACAAAATAAATTATAATTTAAACTATGAGTAATCAAATACAGGATCCAAGTATGCTATGCTGTCAATGAAAATTATGATATCTACGTTCTTGCAAAACTTCAGCGTGTACACCGATACTAAAATAAGTGACATCAAATTTAAATTAGACTTATTAATGAGAAGTGCTAATGGATATCCAGTAACTATTCGACGAAGAGATAGAAGGCCCACATACAAACGAAATTAGATACCTAACGAATGAGCTCAGTTTAATACGCGTAGAACTCAGTTTTGTCCATTATTTAGATAAAATATAGTTATCTTTTTATCTTATCTAGATATAAATTATTTTAAGTATATTTTTATCTTATCTAGATAAATGAATAGGACATCTAAGAATAATCATCTAGACAAATTATTATTCGGTCAATAATTTAAGTATTTTTGACACAATATTATTTCACACCACGCTTGTAGATCAAAGACATTTTATCCCAAACAAATAATAAAATAAAATAAAATTGTTTAAAATAACCTAGTATGCAGCAGGCTCTAAATTAACTCGAAATGATTCATGTGCAACGTATACCCCAAATAATAAATTTAATGTAATAATATATGTAAATAATAAATAATATTTATATATACAGTATATTACTATTTTCTGTAAAATGTTTTTTTTTCGAAATAATCATCCATCCATTATAAATAAGAGCCAATAGACGCTATGAAAAAAACTACCCGTAAAATTCTATGTGAAGCAAATCAATTTTTTTTTTTACTTAAATAATTGATACGATATTTCAGTGTTGGGAAGGAATGCGTTCCTTTTATTGGAACGAAGCTTGAAACGCGTTCCTTTTCAAATATTGGAACGAGGAACGGGAAAGAGTTCCTATTTTTGAGGAACGTGAACAAAAATTTCCATTCTTCAAATAATGAAAAAAAAAAAAAAATGAAACGCATGTTATTTTTAATAATAATATTTTTTAGAATATATTTAATGTTGGTAATTTGGTATCACTTCATCAGTCACTAGTAAATAGTAAAATAAATAACCTACTACCTAGGTATCGTTACGATACGGTAATTGTACGACTGTACAGTCAGCACGTTTACCATACCGACCCACGACCGTACCATACAATTACACCCGATGAACGCTCGAAAACACCATAGTTAACGCCATCATTTGTTCCGCCGACTCGCTCATCTTTTGCGTATCCCGACACCTCGCGCCGACTATTCGTCCTGGCCGCGTCGCTTTACGCCACCGTTCGGATCTTCGGGAGACGAAAAGTCTTGTCATCTGTCGTCTTCATAAGAGTTGTTTTTATTTAAACGATATTGAAATTATTGTCCGACCGCGTTTTTTTATTCTTCATTTCCATTTTTCAGTTTAGGAAATAAATTGAGTTTAAAAAAACCGATTGTTGTATCATTTCTACTCTCTATGCCATAGAGTCTATGGACTATAAGTTATAATCTATAGCAGTATAGCATGTCTGCATGTGTGGCATAGTATGGTACTGTGGCGTATACTTATACTTTATAGTTTATACTGTTGTACTAATAGTACTATATACATATTTATTATATGCAATATATATATATATATATATATAATAAATTATATATTTATATAGAGTGTAGATATTAGATAGTGTTAATATTATATTGATAATTAAATAATAAAACAATTCTGAGTGAAGAAGTGAGTTTTTAGACAAAATAATAAAATTCTTACAGGAAAAAATGTTACCATCAATTGATACAAATTTCAAATCTACGCTATACAATTTTTGAATTAAAACAAATAAACCAAATCAATTTTGTTAAAAATCAGTGCTCCTTTGAAGCTCTTATTTTCCGCCACTTTCTGTTAGTTTTGAAAGTAAAAATTTAGTTTCATTATAATTTATAACGAATATAAAATTTAGCCGATTATTTTTGATTTAATAGTGTTGACAAAAAACACCATTGACAACCACTCGGATCGTAAAAAATTTGTAAAGGAATGGGAACGGGAACGAGTTTCTTTTTAAGAGGAACTTTCCCAACACTGTGTAATTTACTATCAATTGTTTTTTATATAAAAAATATGATTTACCGATTGAATTTTGATTTTTCAGTATTGATAGAAGAAATCACACCCGGGAGAGGTGATTCGTTTTTCATGGGTAAGATATTGTATTGCACTATCACGCCAGAAGCGCGACTCGTCGTTATTGTAATTTTTTGTTCGAGATGGTTGATCACAAACGTGGATACTTAATAATAATAATAATAATATTATGACATATATAATTGAATGGCTGATTAGAAAAAGGTTAATATTCCAAAAGTTGAATTTTTGGAAAATAAAAAAATTATTTATTTCCTTAATTTTTACTTGAATCGAAAACTTTTCCGTAGAATATACGTATCTTAGTACCTAAGCTTTAACCTTCAAAAATATGAGATCTTAAAAATCAACTAGTTTTTTTTTATAAAAAAGATTTAATGAGCTGGAATGTTATGTTTTTTCTTCTGACTTAAATATTTATAGAAATATCAAGCTAAAAAAAATTTTTAAAAAATATTTGACACTCATTTTATTAAGTATTGATTTTTATTTTATTTAGAATATTATAAGTACTGTTTTTAACAACTTAGTTTACTTATTAAAGTATCTAACATTAAATTTCATCTAGTGCTACGAAAAATATTTAAAAAAAAATTAAAAATTAAATTTCTATCATTATCATCACTATTTGCATCATTTGAAGTTAGTTAATCCAAGATTTCGTCATAAGATCCATGGTATTCTTGTGGGACTGCTACAAAATATGGAATCACTATCAACTCCATATATTCCAGATATTTGGAGGATATAAAGTCTCAAACTTATGTTTCTTATTTCAGTTATCATAGCCCTATAATTTTCATAATATAAATTCTTGAATAACATACATGTATGGTAAATAATTATATTCTACACGCCAGGATCGGACTGGTGTCAAAAGGCCCAATCCACGATATGATCAAAGGGCCCTTAATGCTTAGGTCGGGGGGGGGGGAGAGATTTGGCGATCGCTTCCCCTTTGGATTTTTTTTTTATTACATATATTTTTGATATAAGTATACAGCTGTAAACATTGCTATATGTATATATATATAAATAAAATATTCCTATTTGCACCCTCCTTAAACAAGCTTCAAATTCACTACTGGCTTAGATTATACTAAAAATTACATATAGAAAAACATTGATTGATGAACATTGAAGAAAACAGTTTAATATTTTATTCACATACTAAATAATACGTATTATGTTATGTACTATAAAATAATTTATAACAATTTGATTAGCCTTACAAATATGAATATTAGACTTAAATAATTGATTAAAATACGTCTATACTTATTACTAAGGATGGGTCGAACTGAAGTTTTCACAAACTCGAACCCGAACTCGAACATAATATTTTTCTCGAACTGTTCGAACTCAAAGTTGTTGGTAATTCGAATTATTTTCGAATTTTCGAACTTTGAAAAATTATAACATTTAAGTTAAAACTTAAAAATTTGAGTTTTAACTAACTAGGTATGAAAAACTAAAAAGTTTAATATTACACTAGAAGTAAAATTATTAAGTTGGATTTTTGTAGGTTCGAGTGGGTGAAGGCTGTTCTTCTAGTCCGAGTTGTCGTATGTGCCTAAATCTTGATA